AGCTGCATGCCAAAGATAGAGATATATTGGAGAAGAAATGAGTGTTAGGAGAGGGGGGTATACAGGGCTGACCCCATTGTTCGGACGATTCTCCGCGCAGAAGGTCACGAATCGTCACGCTTGCCGAGCCCTGCCGGCCTTCGGGAATGTCCGTCATCCAACTTGATGAGCCTTAGCCGAGCAGCCTAACCAGGTCGGAGAGTGAAAATGTGGCTGCACTGTCACGCCCTCGAGGGCCAAGTCTTGTTTCTCCCATTTGTGCACCAGTGAAGGCTTCGGAGAATTGAGTCCTGGGTATCATGGGTGTGTATGAGTACGTCTGAGAAACATGAAAGGAAGCGCCCGAGGAGGAGCTCGGAGCGAGACTCATCAAGTTTGAATAGGGATGAGTTGCACCACTTCCTCCTGCAAGATCGCCGCAGTGACTCTGTGAATAAATTTGGTTCTTTTTTCTGCTTGTTTGGAATGAACTCGCGCACCTATTTGCCGGCTTGCAGCTTTATCGGGTGGAAAATGAGGGAGACATGGTCCTTTGTCCGAACACTAGGGTCTGTCCGAACACTGGGGTCGCGATAGTAGAGATTTAGAAAGGGGGGTCGGACCCCCCTCCTAGATTTTGACGTCCGTATCCTAAATTTCATCAGCGGAGTTCAGATCTGGTGTCGGCAACACTGCCCCTTGCCCAAATCGGTCTGTTTAGAGATTTACGGACGTCCGTAGAGCCGTAGATAGCTTATGGAAAGTCATCCACTATGCTCATAGACGAAGCTGGAGGATCGGAAACGACCCAGCACTTCTCACATCACGTGCCGTCCAAGTTGCTTAACTATATTTACGTAAGTAACACCGTCAGCCTTCCTTCATACAGGCTACAGGTGGCAAAGGTCGCATTCATATCTGCTCAGGTGAGTCGCTAATCTGACTCGAGTTGCGGTACTTGACTCATTTCGTCTGGGGAAAAAACCCTTCGTTCTAGTCGTACCCGTTCAGGAGGCAATGTGCCATGGCAGCTGACCGCCAATTCGTTGGTGAACAGATGAGAAGCGAAATCGTGGCGGTGTCTTTTGAATCCTTCATTGAGCATTATGCTCCTTTCCAGCCCTCCAGTGTGGTCGTTGACAACTGTGTCGAGCAATTACGCGCGGATGGCCTCGTCATGCCTACGACCGCAGGCGTGGATCGGTTCGCCGGATTTCAGGAGTCGCCATCGCGAAAGTACATATCGAAGAAAGTTGCATATGGCCACCTGTCCGCTATATGCCGTAGCATTTCTCAGGTCGTCGTGGAAGACAGAGTGGTCAGTTGTTCCTTGGTCCAAGAACCCGACTCCACGACCGGTTCGCAAAATTTGGAGGCGTCTCACGCGATAGATGGGTATGTCAAGCCCGTTACCTCGACGGTGCCATCGCCAAATTCCCCCGAGGAGGAATGGGAGGGTATTGTTGATATTGCCGTCAATTGTGAATGGATGCTGCCGGAGAGCGACGATGAGCCCGTGCTACGTAACGGTTATGCCATTCAGAGTCGTTTGGACGCAGTGTCCGCTGCTCTTCACGAGATGAACAATGACCCCCGACGGACGCATATGTACAGTGTGCGTGCAGCCTTTTGACTTGCTCACCAAGACATGCAATCTTACAATCTGCCCAGGTGACCATCGAAGATGAAGCGATGTGTCTCTGGTACTGGTCACGGTCCCATTCAGCAAAGTCGGAAGCAGTCGATATCACAAAAGTGCGCGCGTTTGCGGTTGTTGACACGCGTCGATACACTGACACTTCGTAGGATGTACGTTCAACTATACGCGGCCTCGTTTCCTTCTTATTTGCAAGCACGCCAGAACTTGGTTACGATGAGACCGTCCAACGCCGCTTCGACCCGGCGCTGGGAGGCTATTGCCACATCTTCTGCGTCGGAGACAGTTACTTCAAGGTGCTTCGCAGCATCGCTGAGCATGTAGGTCCCTGCACTATAGCGGGGCCCTCTACGCGGGTCTTCGAGGTCGTCAATGTCCCTAGTTTCGACAATATCACCGCCACTACGGAATCAGTTGCATCGCCTATGGTCTTGAAGGACGTGTGGCTCGACATTGAGGCGAAACCCGAGAAGCAGATCCAGAACACCATTTTCGGAAGACTCCAGGACGTCGCGCACAGGCTGCAGGACGGTCAAGACCTGCCTCAACTTACCGGTTTGGATGGTGCCGAAAAAGAACTCCTCCGCAACGCTCTCCGTGATGAGACATACAGGGACTACTTCCTTACCATCGACTGCGACACGCAAGGAGTGCAGTCAAAGTCACTTGCCCCTGGCACATGGCGCAAAGATGATGTTTTCACTTTCTGGGACTCTTCATTCTGGGACTCTTCATCGGATAGGAGTCGGTCACTTTATGTCACGCCTCCGCCTCATAGAGCCCGTTCCTTCTCGACATGGCGGTCCTTCGTTGCCAAGCGCCAGTATCGCGTTGTGTTCAAGGAAGTCTGCCAGGCGCTGCACCGTGTGGGTGATTCCGCGACCGTCTTCAAAGCTATGAAGGACTGCCTCCTTGGTAAGAGGTCCAGGATGTCGCGTATCGTCCAAAGTTGATGCATACTTCGATGCGCAGCCGTTTAGCTTCTGTTCCTTGCCGGCTGGGTCCACCGCGACATCAGCTCCGGAAACTTGCTCTGGAATCCCAACTCGAAGAGGGGCATCCTGAGCGACCTCGAATATGCCAAGGAGTTCAACGCTGAAGGCACTGGCAGTTCTGACCCGAAGACTGTATGTACTGCTTTTGTCCGGTGGCTTTTGCGACCGGCTGATTTGGTATGCATATCTAGGGCACTCCGGCGTTCATGGCGTCAGAAAACATAAGCCAAAGGCTCATCCTGTTCTCCAATCCCGACCTCAGCTCAGAGGATAAGAAGGACGCTGGGCGAAAGCCCATCATTCACAACTTTCAGCACGACCTCGAGTCCTTCTTCTGGCTCCTCCTCTGGATACTCACTACACGCATCTCCACGCGCACCCCCGACCTGGTGTCCTATACGAATCGGCTGTTCCTAGTCGATGGACTTTCCAACCTGTGGCCGGGCAGAGTCACACCGTTTCGAGAGAGGACGATCGGCTCCGAAGTCGAAGACCTCCTTCCCGACGACATGAAGGTCTTCGCAGACCGTATACATATCTTGAACCAAGCGTTGTGTGATGCGTCCATCAAAAAGCACCTCGATTTCGGTAACGTTGCTAGCTATGTCCACCTGTATGGCGCAGTGCGGGAGGCATTGAACTTCTGTGTGGCAAAGTCCGATCTGGTGAAGCTCGCAGCAAGGAAGGGAGAAGCCGTTACGAAGATTCTGAAGCGCAAGCGAATGGACTCCACGTAGCCTGTCCGCGCGTCACCACACCGCGCATCCTTGGCCGCACGTGCTAGCAACGATCGGGTGTAACCAGTGCGTTCCCTTGGGTCAGTGGGTTCCGGGCTATATCTACGCTCTCCAGTTAGTTGACTATCGATCCACAGCCGCCTCTCCCCCCCTTTAACTCGATCACGTCTTAGATGCCTGTTGTGGACCGTCTCGTTCTTTGCCGCCGTCGTGGCGACTGTGGACTCTCATCTATGGCCCGTTGATGTGGACTCCCGCTCCTGCGCAGCGCTGACCAGGAGGCAGCTATGAATCCCATGTACATCACTCTCTTCTGACCGTAAAGCATTCCTTGTCGCCGTATAAGTGTCCGGCTCGCCATATCTCAGTTTGCGATGCGAGCAGCCACTTGGGGTGCAAACGCACTCTCCTCCTGCCGAGCACTCATGGCCATCTATAACGCCAACTGGTACTGAGCACCGACGGTCGTCCTGTCACCCTTCGTCTCTTCACTCCGCTTGAGTCTGCTGCGCTCAGAAAATGCTTGCGCTGCATGTCTCCTGTTCTCGTCCATCTCCTCAAATTGGCTCCTTGCAAACAAAAAGGTGGCGGGGCACATGAGAGTGGTTCCTGGACCTAATCAAACGACTCGTAGATTGCAGAATAAGTACAGGATGACAAACAACTAATGCTCTCGATATACTATAAAACAAATTACGGGGCCTAGGAATGGGGGGATGAGTGGGAAACAAGGTTGGTACGCTGTACAAGTGTGAAGAGTACGCAGTACAAATGTCAGGGTAGGTGCGGAGCAGGAGAGAGTGCAAGCAACAAGCGACATGGAAAGACGAGGCTAGATGTGAAAGGATTTCTTGGTTGGTGTTGTATAGTGCACGGATCAGAAAGCGAGAAGAGCGAGTTATGTGACGAAACACCTGTTGGATGCGGATGTTGCAAAATACAATTGCGCGATGCTTGTAATATATTCGAGGAGGAGAGGATCCCGGAATGCATGAAGGTCCGCAGCGGCGGTCCGATGAGACGATGGAGCCCGGGAGGATACTAAACAGGGTTCATAGCAGGCCGGCATAGGTATAATCCCGCACGCGTCGGGATGGCGCGCGGGGGGTGATTATGGGAGCGATACGAGACCAAAGGAGCGACGAGATATGCATACGTTCTTGTTTTCGTTGACGAGACGACCACTTGCGGAAGTCACGAAGGGCCGACCAGGACCTGAAACCGCTTCACATACCATATGCGAACGACTGGCGCTGGTAAGGATCAGCGACGCCGACGGGGAACGCACTGCCGTACGACGACACGCCAGAGAACACGCCAGCTTGGGTGTGGGGAGGAGTGAGCCCGGGGCTGTGGTTGTTTGAGCCTTGCATCACGTAGCTGTCGATCGAATGGGTCTGGAGGCCGGCGTGGAGAGGAGCCGCGTGCAGGCCTGGGCCACCCTGCAGCCCGTAGAGGCCATTCTGCGCGGTGTACACGTCCGCCAAGGCACCGGCCTGGAGGTGGGACATATGGCGGCCCCCGTTGTGGGCATGTCCCATTCCCATGCCCTGATTGCCGAGGGACATGTTGACGAGCGCCTGCTGGTTGTGATGGTAGCCTCCACCGCCGAACGCATCACTGTGCTCGCGCTGGAGCTTGTTCTGGATCCGTTTGCCATAAGGAGTGTTGCGGATCAAAGGAAGGACAGGACGGATGCCCTCGACGAGCAAGGCGCGCTGGCTGGGCTCGGCGTAGTCGAGCGCGGTCTGCGATACCCACGATCAGCACACCCTGCACTGCGGGAAAGGGCGCATCAGGGGAGGCCATACCTGCACACAGTAATTGCCATAGGAATCCCTCAACAGTTTCTCCAGGCGGGTTCGGTTCAGAAGCTCTCCAATCAGCATCTTGCGCGTGCTATGCTCAGCGACGCGGATACACTGTATATGGAAATGTCGCTCTGATGAGACAAGGATAGATAAGTCCACATTAGGACTCCACGCACCTTCTCGATCACGTTCGAGCTGAACTTCTGGACAGATAAGGCGCACACATTGCCGGCGAACTGGCGGATAACGCCGTCGCTGAAGCGGTTGTCGTTCAAATCTAGGATGTATTGGACCACCTGGCACGTTGAGCGACATCAGTATCAGAACTGCACAGAAGCCGACCGCAGGCCGAGCAATGAGCATGAGCACGCTTACATAGTTGCCGTAAGGATCCTGCACGAGGGTGAGCGCGTTGTACGTGATCTCGTTCACGAGCTGGACACGTTGGTGTTCCGAGGCGTGGTCGATGCAGCGCTGGAGCACGCAGCAGCCATGGCGGTGAGTGGCGACCTCGACGCAGTTGGCCGCGACGGCGTTGTAAATGAACTATGAACCCCAATCGCATCAGTGCGCGCCCTCATAAGAGAGATGAATAGCGAGCATGCCTGGTTATCCTCGGGCGCAAGCTTGTTTAGGCACTTCTGGATGACGTGGTTCCCGTTGAGGTCCTTAATGAGCACGACGACGTGCAAGCTCAAAGCCAGGATGATGGAATGGATCTGGACATCACCAAGGTCAGTCTACGGAGTTTACCGGTAAGTAGTACGAGCATAGATTGACTGGAGCGACACCCACCTGCCTGCGGGTGGAGAGGAAATCGATCATCTTCTGAACGGCCCGAGTGCCGTGCATATTCAGCGAGATGTTGACGAGGTCCTGCGCGACGGATTCGCAGATGACGTTCCGCTGCTCGTCCGTGGAGTACTCCAAGAGCTTCTGACAAAGGTAGTTGCCGAAAGGATCTATGAAACGCGGTGAGCGAAGTGATCTCCGTGCGTACCCTATGCAACGTACCCGTCATGAGATCCGCGAAGTGACCGAAGGTCTCGCGGAAGATCATGTCTCGGTGTTCCGGAACACCCTCCTCCAGCTTCTTCTGGAGGTAGCGGCAGCCGTGCTGGTCCTTGCAGAGCTGCGGGATCTCACCAACAAGATCCTCTAGACGCGTACCCGCGAAGCGGTTGACTACATAGTACACATGAATACGACGCTGACGATGACACAAGTGAGGACTTACACTCCCTGTCGATATCCCCACGCTTGTGCTTAGGCCCGTGCAAGCCGTTCATCTTCCCGTCCGCAGCGCCGTTCGGGCGTCCGTTCATGTTGAAGCCGTACTTCGCCCCGTTGTGGTGGTACAGCGCCGTCGAGCCTGTAGCACCGACGCCACCGGCACCGCGACCGGCTGCTTCAAATCCGTACGAGTTGTAGCGCCCTCCCTCGATGCCACCGGGGAGCCCATACGCGCCATCGCCGCCGTACTGTTGTGGTTGGTGATTTAACGTGAGGATCAAGATCTGAAACACGGCGCTCGAAGGACCTCCACTCACCTCGTCGATTCCGGATTGGATGGAGTTGAAGCTCAGCGGACTGCCATCGTATTGCCCAGAGGGCATACGTGACAACGACGGATTAAGCTCGCTGTCCTCACTGAGCTGGCGGGACATCTGCGCGCTCAGGATGCCGTTGATGTTGTGCGGGTCACCAGAGAGCGGCGTGCCAGGAGCCTTCGCAAGGTGCCCAGCAGAGTTGGGCATGCCAGGAAGCGGCGTCGCGGGGACAGAACGAGCCGAAGTAATGGAGGAAAGCGTGTCACCGAGGCTCAACGGCGAACCGCGGCGAGACGAGAGGCCCTGCGCAAGGCCTTGGGACACCTGCTGCAAGAGAGGTGTCGTGGTGCCAGACATAGTACCGTTAGCCTTCACACCAGAGATGTCGCCCAAGCCAGGAGACAAGGACATAGCCGGGTTCGTCACGGTGCGGCGATCCGTACGGCCCAAGCCTTCGGGGACACGACCACTGCCACTGAATTGCGGCCACTCAGAGGACTTCTGCGGAAGGGGAACGATGTGCGACACGGACAAGAAACGCAGCATGCCAAGTAACGAAAGGAATAGCTCAGCAAGCGAGTAGAGGCCGAAGCAAAGGCATCAGCTCAAACGACGAACCTTGTTGGCATAGCCGTTCGAGTACTTATCCTCGTCCGAAGTGGGAAGGTGACGCATCGCATCTATAACAGATGAGCCAGTGATTCAGGAAGGAAGATGGCGTACATACTGTGCATCTCCTGATCCAGCTGCTCATCCAACATCATCCCCGCGTTGTACGCATGCGCGTAGTCGTTAGCGAACCTTCCGCTGCTCGAGCGGAGGATGGACTGCGGGACTGCGCCCGAGGGCGTAGAGATACCCTCGGCACGCTTACCAGCGAGGGACAGGCCCTGCAAATGACCCGCGAGCTCCTCGTCGTGCTCGCTCGCCGAAGTTCGGCGACTGGCAGGCATGCTCTTGGCTCCTCCGGGACGCGCAAAGGACTGGTTGCCGGACGGCAACTCCGGAGAATGGTTGACAGAAGGGGCGTAAGTAACGGACTTGCGCTTGTCGGCCTTGCCAACGGCCTGGGACAAGACGTCCGGGTCCACGACCGAGCGCGAAAGGCTCGACGGGTAGGTCGGGGAGTGGTCGTCGCTCAGGACAGCGTTGACACGCGGAGGAGTGGTAGGCGCCGACACCGCGAGATGCTGAGGAGCCTCGATGGGAATGTTAAGCAACTCCCGGGCTTGCTGCTGCTCGAGGACGCGCATTTGATCCTCGAACATCTTGCGCTGAAGAGCGCGTTGACGCTCGTGCTCCATGCGCTTGAGAGACCGCTGATGTTTGCCGAGAGACAGCAAGTCAGCTTACGCGAACACAACACCCTGGGCCACGAGGTAAGAAACCTACAGCAGACACGTCCGAAATATTACCACCGAGCCTCGCAGCCTGCAGATGAGGTAACGGAACGGGCAAGGGGTCAGCGGACTTCCGGAGGGTCGGAGACGTGACTGAAAACTCGGACGCACCGAATCCGCGAGGTCCAGGAACGCAGGCGGGCTCTGAATCCTGTCGTCGGCATTCTGACGGGTCTCGGTGGGGGAGATAGAGGCACCCAAGGTAGTACTCATAGCGAAGGACGGGGAATACTTTTGCTCGAAAGTGATCGAAAGGAACAGATTGAGCAGAACGGTTAGAGTAGTGAGCGAGTTAAGCCTAATTGCACAAGGGTAATCCTGCGCGGGTCGACCGGCGAAGTTGTGAGTGCTCTGAAGGGCTGGGGGAGGACGGTGATGGGGACACACCTGCCAGCTGGTTTTTAGCCCGTCTATAACGACTATGTTGGTACAATGTATCGGGAGTGCTACTGGGGGTGCGGGTGAGAACGAGGGCGTAGGCTCGGGTGTGTAGGACGCACGCTGGGGCGAATTTTGACAGCAGAGGAGGATGAGAGCGGACGGAGGAGTATTAGCGGTGTACAGGGGGTCCTTACTGGGGGTCCTTACTGGGGAAGAGCAAGCAACTCTAAATGCAACGCTCGGCGGACAGGCCCCCGATTTTAAACCTCCGACTACCACCACCGCCGAGCCGTTAGCGCCCCTTGAAACCCCCATCAAGCCTTCACTTTTTGCCGTCTGCTTTGCCTTTCCGCCCCGCTAAAACACTATTCTATTCCTCAGCCTTTCACACCCGCCATCTTCTCGCTCTCAGCGCCATCCTTCTCGCCCCAATTGCCCTGCAGATCCCCGTCTCGCCTCTCCAAGACAGACGCTCATCTGCTCCCCGAAAAGGAGATTCCCGATGACAGACAAGCGCCCCCCGCCGCTCTTGCACGTATTCGGCTCCTCATCTTCTTATCCGAGTCTAGCTCCTGTACCAAAAGCTTCAACATACCGTACTACACCCTGAACTCTCTTTGACCGCGCCTGTGCTCTGCAGCACACAGATGGCAATCCGCTTGTGCACCGTCCACCCAGATCCGCGGCATTCTAACCCCACCGTACGCTGCGCACGCGTAACAAATGGCTTGCACAATCTGCGCAGAACCGACGGCCGTCATCCCCACGCGTTCTCATGCACGCACACAACCCAGATCTCCACCCTTACGATCCTTGCGTGCTTTGCATAAATCTCTTTCTCGCGCCTCGCAACGCCCGCCGCAATTTTCCGCACACTCGAGGCGCGCGGCTCACCCGGCCCTCCGTCGCCAGACTTCGCGAACGTACGACTCTGAGCGTGCCGCGTGAAGAGCAGGTGCAGGAAGCCCCCGACATGGGAGCTCAGCACCAAAACAAGCACATCCTGCTCTCGTCCGACGCGTCTTGTACGTCGCCGCCAATGCTGCTGAGCAATGCATGCCCTCACGGCGCACGCTCACGTACGAGAGGTACTGTATCACGGTGTTGACGCCTGAGGTCCGACTGCGAGCGACTCGTCCCAATCTAGCCCATCCCGCGGCGCGACACAGTCCTCTGCCTCGGCTCCTACACTTCAAAAGCGTTTTGATGCTCCGTTTTACTGCCCAACAGCCCAGCTGCGCTTCGCTACCATAGAGACATCCGTACCGGTCCTTTGCCCCGCACGCCGGCTCCTTCACAGAACAGAAGAAGGATCAATCCTAATACATACCTCTGACAATGATTCTTGTCACAGGTGGCGCACAAACCGTCCACGAACAAGAATATGCAAGACATGGTGACCTAAACCGGAGGGCTCCAGCAGTAGTCGTCGTCTCAATCTCCGTAGGAGACCCTGGCCGTGAAACAAGCCCTGACATAATCGTTCAGCCTAGAAGCGGGCAGCTGGGGGGTTGCGCCACACATTACGCTTTTGCTTCCGCGCACGCTATGTGTCCGCTTCCATTAAGCGAACAACCGGGCCCTGAGCGATATGACTTTGATCACGCCCTTGGTATGAGGGCGTCAGCTAGGTTGCCGGGAGCACCCGAGCAGGAATTGTTTCCTTGTCACTGGTCGCCGCCACCCGGTACATCGTTACGTCGGATCGTTCAATGGTGCGGTCGTGTATACCATTAGGATCCCTGTTGTTTGTAGTGAGCATATGGAGCCAATTCACCCTTAGCTGAATGCTGACTCATCGTCTGAGAGGACAACGAACGTTGACTGGACTACTTGTAAAGCACAACACGAATATAGTAGCGGCATGAACACAAAGGTGTGTAAAGAGCGTATGTCTACGGACCAGACAAGGAAGATTTGAGAGATAGAGTATGTGCGGCTGCGCCGCATCCAGTGTTCGCAACTTCCCTCGCGTAAGGCGATCGGCAAGGCCAATCGCGGCGCAAAGGTTAACAGGACAAGCCAAGCATGCCCTGCTAGCTCAGGACCAAAGGCGGCGACTGCACCACGGGGTCGTCAACGACCTTCTCCCGCCCGTTGGCCACCCCGCCCTTCGCATTCGACTTGGCCTTTGGGGGGTGCCCACGGGACGGCTCGCAGAAAGGCTCCGCAATCGCCTTTCCCTCAACCACCTCTTCCTCATCGTCGATCTCCGCGGGGCCGACGCCCCGGATCGTTCTCCGGTCATCTTCGTCATCAACCCCCTCACCATCGCCGTCGGCAGCCTCGCCCTGCGCGGCACTTCCATCCGCGTCAGCCGTGTCAAGCGACGCCTGCGCCTCCGAGTCGGGCGTCTCCGCCACGGCCTTCACTGACGGCTTCTGACTGGCGGTGGATCGCCCACGCAACGTCAGGAAGCCGGTGAACGGCGCGAGGTCGAAGTATGCACGCGACTTGCGCGGGATCGGAGTCGACTTCGTTGGGGTCGTTGTCCCACTCGCTGGTGGGGTGCTGCTCCTGCTGGCAGTCGTCCCATCCTCCGATGGCCCCGATGGAGCATGCTTGTCAACGGAGGCGCCTTCTTCAGCATCGGTTCCTGACGTCGGCTCGGAGGAGAGTGAAGATTTCGCCGGTACAGCCGACTCGGATTGCAGGGACGAGATCGATACCGACGAGGAGGCGACACGATGACCACTGCAGATGGGACATGGCATGAGTGTGAGAAGAAGAGGACATAGCGACGTAACACCAATCAGAAGCTTACGGGATGCTGCGTTGCTCATTGTCTGTGAGTGTCAGAAGCAGGTTCTTCAGGTTCGGCAGAGTATGGCGCATGTCCAATGCACGCAGATTGCGCTCACTCATGAGCTAATCGCGGGTATGCCAGGGAGTTAGCGGAGCGCGCTCAAAGCTAAGTGGCGCTCACCATCTCAATGTCCTTGTTGAGTAGGAACACTCCATACTCGAAACGGTATGTGTCGACACCCTTCGAGAAGAGGGGAAAACTGTCATGGCGCGACTTAACAATGGCAAACAGGCGAGGAACAAACAGGTACAACGCTTACTTCCTCGGTCCAACCATGGCAGAAATGCCGTCCTTGATCATACTCCGGCTACCCACACATGTCACTGGATAAAGAAGCCTGTGTCCCATGTAGGCAGCCAAGAGCTGAACGAGCTGCGCGGCGAAGCCTAACGCTGTTGCCACGCTGTCTTCTGTCACGTCTTTGGATGCCGGCAGGGACAGCGGCGGGGCAGGGTCGGTAGCTGCAACAGGGATAGGGAGAGGTACATTTAGGATGGAGAAAAGCAGGTCCGGAGGGGAGACAAGGTCTATGGGGTATATGAACGAGACGATGGATATCAAGTTGCTGCGCATAATCGGGAGAAGGTTGCGCAAAGACGATAGCCGAGCTCTAGACAGCATACTGATCAGTTGGCAAGGAAATAGCGGATAGTTCGCTCACATACCGCTCCTCAGCAATGATCTCTTCCGTCCTTGCCCCCTCTTTGAGGTCCGCCTCGTGCAGACGGTGTGCTTCCTTGAGTATTGCACGTCGCCGTCGCAAGTCCTCACGTCGAGCAGTTATGCGCTTGCGCACTGACATCGAGAGCTTCAGAGGTAGGATAGGGGCAATAAAACCTGGATACTGACATTCTTCTGCATCCCGGTCGACTTTTAATCTCTCCTCATTGAGATCATGCACCCATGCTGCTCGTTCGGAGACCTCCCGAGCCTAAGATAGCACGGGTCAGAAGTATTGTCGGATAAGTCTCGGAAGCATTCGCAACAAGCGATTCTGGCACAAGCCGTCTGCCGAACAATATGCAACGCTTACAAGGATGCGTGCTTCGTTATGGACGACAGCCCTGTCGATTTGACGAACCACCTCGTTTAAGGATTGTTGAGTATCCAGTATCACCGACTGAAGATTGATCAGCCTGAACGCAAGTCAGTAACAGCACCTCCGGGCGCAGTAGCGTTTGCTTGACGTACTTGAGCAAATCCTGCCAATTCGCGGATTTGACCGCACGCTTCCGTCGGAAGTGAGTCGTGCTCGTTCCATCAAGCTCGCTAATCGTCGGACTAGCGGGTATATCGTCCAAGCTGCCATCGAGTCGTGGGGTTCGCAACCCCATCTCTCCTGCCGTCCCTCTCATTTTATGTACTCCCGTCTCGGGATCCGAATTGTAGCCGACATTCGGAGATGGCGCCCGAGACGGCGAGTGCGATTGTAGTGAGCGGGCAGGTAGGTAGAGAGTCTCGCCAGACGATAGCGATATCAGCAACGTATTCGATGGGAGATGAGAAGGGTTTGCAGCAAGCTAAAAGGGCACAGCGATCAGGAGACGCGCAGGAGGAAAGGGGTCGTCAAGCTTACATCTTGCGGCAAAGGCTTCAACTGGTCCAAAACGACCTTCCACGACTCCAAGACCTTCCACTGAGTCCTGTTGGAGCCATCCACCTGCTTCTCCTTCCCTTTGCCCTTCGTATCCGCAGGCCTCCCTGAATGGATGCTATCCGACGCGCGAAAAGTGCTCCCTCCCTCCTGGTCCATTCGACCCCAAATGTCTACTCGCATTTTCGCACCACTCAAACGAGTCCCAGGTGCGAACTCGTGGCGGCTGAGCTGAAAGACCGGATTGATCGAAGGCCAGTGAATTGGGGAAATATAGTCAGGAACAGGCAGAGCCTCGTCCTGAGCGGCGGATAGAGTCACAGCCTGTAGCGAGCTTTGGGATACCTCTAAGGAACCCGGTGTAGGACATGTGGTCGAGAGAGCGGCAGGGAAGGGCGCCTTGTGACGCGAAGGGGTTGCTGGGGAATTAGAAGTCTTGCTATTAAGCAGCGAAACGGACGCAGACTTCCCATGGGTGCTAAGTACGCTCTTGACGGAAGGGGCTAAAGGAGAAGGAGAATGTGGAGTGGGTGTGGCCGGAGACCGTGCAGTCGCGGAAGGATTCGAGGATCCTACGGTAACGCGTCTAGCCATTGTCTTGACTGACGAGCTACTCTTCATCGAAGCTTTGTTCTTCACCAGTAGAGACGGACTATTGGGCCGCGAGGGAGACGGCGAAGGGAGCTGCGCACGCTCACCACTAGGAGTGCCTGCCCTTCCATGATCGGTGTCAGAATCGTTCGAGAGCAAAGTAACGGTGACAAAGGTCTCCACGAGACGTGATTGTAATATCTTCTCCAAGCTCTTCTGAGATGTATCTCGGAGTAATCCTGGGAAGAAGGCAGAAGAAGAGGTGCCGAGGTCGCCGGACAGCGCCGACACGGAGGACGCGGCTTGATGAGAATGGGTGGACGCGATGGACAGCGCACGGGCGCGGTGAGCAGGGCGCACGGACGATGTGGACCCGATGTTCGACGACTGTCTCGTGAGTTTGGGACTCGACGAACCCACAGAGGTGGAGGTGGGTATGCTAGCTCTGGAGGACGACCGCCTACGCAAGGTGGGCTCACCAGAATAGTTTAGACTCCCTGATACGCCATCTTCTTCACTCCGAGGAACGGAGTGAATGGAGCTAGCGGTCGATACACGTCGTCCGCGTTTCCTCCCCACGGTCACATCAAGGTCGTCTGACAAGCGTCCATGCGGAGTGAACTGAGGTTGTGCGGATGGTTTAGTGAGAGCGGAAGCCAAGGCATCGCGAACGGGGAATGGGGTTAGGTTGCGGACTTGGATTGAAGTTATGTGTCGAATGCGACGCTGCTCCGACAGTTGACCGTTGGACGATGAACAACTTGAAATGGTAGAACAGAGCTCACCGACAGAGTGGGTGCCGGATAAGCGGCTACCTCATCATTGCTACCATTCCATGACGAAAGCTTGGTTGTTGGCATATTCGATGGTGGTCAGAGTAAGTTACCAGAGCGTAAGGACAGAAAGCCAGGGAAGACTCAAGCAGGTATGACGGTAGAGCACTACTCTATGCAGAAGAGCATAGAGCAGATGTATAACAATGATCGGTAGCAGTAAGGGCAAGCGTTGACTTTCCAGAGTTCACCAGACCTTTCGCCACCGTCGTGTAGGCTGTGGAGGTCGTTGGTGCGAAGCCAGGGGTTCTTGCAGACATGGAACGGGGAGAGTTGCGATGCGCGTGAATTTCGAGCAATTCGCCTGTCGCGCGCTGCGTCACGGTACGCGCGCTGGGGCCTCGCGCGTTGTCCGCTACCGCTACGGTACTCTCCTTCGTCTCTCACTCTCATGCCACCCAAGCCACGCCCAGTCCGCAAGCCCTCCACAAGTTCTGGCAATCCCGCTACCGCACCAGGAGCTGTCAAAGATGCGAGTGCAGCAAGCGCCTCGATGCCGCCACCGCCTGACCCAGGTCCGCCGCTCGGGATACTGGTACCAGAGATTACTGCACTTTCGTCATGTCTCCAGGTAATAGACCACTCAAGGCATCCGTGCACGTCTCCCAAGGCTAACTTACTCCTCGCGTAGACGGCCGTGATCAAGACGGGGCAAATTTACGGTTTCTATACGGACGTGAAGAGACTGTACGCACGACCAAAGTACTTCTCAATCCTTTGCTAAGTAATGCCATAGCGGCATCCAGCAGTATGCACCCAAACCTCCGCGTTCACTTACATCGGCGTTGGGGAGGGAGATAGTCAAGTACGACCAGCTCTGCGACGCCATGGAATCCCACCTAGTTCGTAACCACCTCGATTTTGTTCTCCCGCTGTATTAATCTCCTTCAAGCTCCGCGCTATAACCGTCCTTCAACGCGACCTCGCGCGCGAAGAGCAGCGAATCAAGGCGGAAGAAGAAGCGGCTGCCGCCGCAATCCCTAAACCACCCTCCCCGAGCCCTATGCCGGCTCCCACCCCGGCCGGCTCCCCCACTCAGACCCAGATCGAACCCCTGCCCGACGGCAATCTACGCCCACGTCTGTCTGGCGTTGGCGTCAACGTCGCACGACGCCAGTCAACTATCTCACTTTCTTCCTTGTCTCGCCCCACGGCCCCGCATAAGCTCGACCTTTCCGCGTCCGCTCTGCGCATCCTCCCAGACGAGATGATCCCAAGCGGACTCTCCTCTCCGGTCACGCTCGCCCCTAGATCTGCTCGTGCCCCATCTCTCCCGCCAGAGCTCGTCATGCTAGGCGACCCCACGGGCCGATCCGTGGATATCGACCTGACGCTAGACAACGACATGGACATGACGGGACCCAGCGCCTCCGGCTCACACATACGGAGCATGCTGCACGTCGATCCTACGGCTGGTAGCTCCGCGGACAAGCCCATCGAGCTTGACTTGGACATGGATATGGACGTGCAATTCTTTGCGGACGACCCTGACGCCGGAGCGGAGGGCGCGAATGCGAGCATGTTCGGGCCTGCGCCCATATCTGGCTCCGACCAGCACGCGCATATAATCAAGCCGAAGCAGGAGGAGCAGCTTGATCTGGACTTGCTTGGATCTTTCCAGTCTGTCCAGTCTACCGGGGACGACATGTTCGCGCCTTTCGGGAATTCTACGCCCGGTGGCATACCTACGTCTTCAGCAGCTTCGACATCTGGTGCGCAGAAAGCACCACTTGGGGCGCCTTCTCCAGGGACAATCTTGGCTGATTTGACGGGGACGTCACGAGCGGGGGATGGGTCGGGGGTATCTACGTCCGGGCAGGAAGGCTCATTTGATTTCGATATGTCAACATTCGACTCCAACTTCCTCGCCGGACAGGGTGGAGGAGACATAGACATGTCGGGCATGGACGACATTTTCAACCTGGGAGTCAATCCTGCTGATTCTAGCACAGACGGGGGAGCCCCCGGCGGTAGCGGAACATCTTAGCAACTTCTTGCCATGTACTTCGTCCCACGGGACTTACTAGTCAATCTGCTGCAGTGCACCATACAGTATTACATTGTTATAGCACTAGCAATTGAACCATACTGAGCAGTGAGGATGACAACAGGGACGTCGTTTAGTATGATATGCGGTTACACAAACAACGCTGTGGCCACAACCCACGCGTCAGGAAAGAGAGACATTACGAGCACAGCTTCACGTATACAACCATTAGTACTTACGTAACTCGACGTGAGATAGCGAACAACGTCCTCGAGCCCGGGGCCTCCAGCTGGAACCCTCGGTCATCGTCGTGCCAAGGCGCGTACCATTGCTGGCCTGAACCGATTCACGAGCGACCACCCTTCTTCTTCTTGTTCACGACCTTGAAGCCTCCCCATTCATTCTGCGCGGGCTTCGGCTGGGTCTTGACGACATCCGCAATGGAGATAGGCTTGGCGGCGCTAGACGCAGATGCACCCTTCGGTCGCGAAGTCGCATCCGCTTTGCGCTTGCTAACGAACTCGGCAGCAAACCGACGGCCATCAAGGGTGGTGCTGCTGGCGTAGATGAGGTCGGAGATGATCTCTACCGTGATCGGGTCGGGGTCCAGAGGGAACGAGAGTAGCATAGACGTGAGTTCCTCAACTGGAGGAGCAATAGGGAAGGTGAGCTGGGAACAATGGTCAACAACCACAAGGCTACGCACGATTGACTGAATTGTTCAAGCCCTTCAATGAGTCACCCAGCCACTTCAAGAACTCGAGCGAGGGCCCCAGCGTCGAAGCGCTCTCGTCCCGAGACGGCGTAGACTTGACAGCGACAGCAACAGGACGAGCGGCAGTAGCAGTCGTCGGGCGAGACATGCTACTGGACGGGGCCACAACAACAGAGACCGTAGGCACCACCTTCGCAGATGCAGCAGGGGTAGCCACGGGACGGGCAGTTCCAGCAGGCGTAGCCGCAGCGACCTTCCCGCTCGCGCCCACAGTCGTCCACGCACCACCGCTCGGCGGAGTAGCAGCAGCGGGCTATGACACAATCAGCGACTGAGGCCCAGGGAGATGCCTTGGCATTTTGTACTCACCTTAGTCGTCGTATCGACGTGAGCCCTACGAGCAGCGGCCGCCACCGTTTCTTTCTCTTTCTCCCTCGCCTGCTTCCTCTTCCGCTCTTCCTCCTCTTGGATCTCCTTCATCGTCTTCTTCGCCACTGGAACCTTGGCGGCGTTCGTCCACACAACAGGAGCAGCAGGGGCCGGCGCAGATCCGCTGAACGGTGACGCCACAGGGCTTTCCTTCACGCTGGTCGGACGGGCGCCCGCCTGCGAGGTCGGCAAGCCCCACGAAGTGGTGAATGGCTGGAAGTCTTCGGATTGCGAACTCACACGAGCAGCACGTTCAGCACGCTCACGTTCGCGCTGCTCAGCCTTGCGAGCCTCGAGCTTCTTCGCCTCGGCTTCCTGAATTTCGCGCAAAGTAAGTGCGGCACCCTGTTTCTTCTTGTCGTCGTCGATCGCCCACGGTGCCTTGGGCTCGGCTTGAGGTGGGGGCGAAGGGGGTTTCGCAGGTGCTGCAGGAGCTGGGGGAGGGGGAGCAACCTTGGATGCAGGAGACGCAGTCGGTGCAGTCTGAGCAGTGGACTTGCGCCGAGGCTTCTGGGGTGCAACATCGGTAGGCCAGGGAGCGGAAGGTGCGGCGACTGGTGTCGACGCATCAGGTTGAGGTTGGGCCTGAGGTTCTGCTGCCGGCGCCGATTCGCGCTCGGGTGCGAGAGCTGGCTCACCTGCCGCAGGCCGAGGGGACTGACGTTGAAGATCTGCTTGACGCTGCTGCTCATTGTGTTGACCCAGGTTCGCGATAGTAAGGCTTGCAGTCGGCGCTCCCCATGAGTCGTTTTGAACAGGTTGAGCAGGCGCCCGCCAGGCAGACTGATCATTCTGCACGGGCATTTGCGGGGCGCGTCCAAATGCGTGGGAGGGCGCGACTGGTGAGGATATGAAGGTGTTGCTCGAGGTTGGATGATTGGCATCGAAAGGCCCCGGACGGCGAGTGAAGGCAGGAACGTCGTGAGTTTGCCATGGCGACTGACCGTTCACGAACCCTGGGCTCTGAGCAAACTGCTGCTGGTGCTGCGGCATGTATGGTATCGACTGGCGGTCAGGTGTTATAGAATGCAAGGATCGGTTGTCCTGGCCCGCAAATTGCGAGAGAGGGGTCTGAGGGAACGCCGCCGGGGCATGAGAGATGAAAGGAGAGGAGTGATTCGAGAAGGAGCCGCCTATCCCTACGCTCTGTTGGAGCTCATCCTGAGGTGGCCGACCGAACGGATCCCGGTTCAGTACCCGGGACGGAGTACCATGGTTCGCATGAATCCCACCAATTGGTCCGAACTCGGTACCGCCGTTCAAGGCAGACGAGCCGCCCAGGCCGTTCAGGGCACCGGACTCCTGGACAATTCTCTGCCGGAAAGTACTCTCGGTGAAGACGCCGGGGCTATCCGGTCCTATATGACGATTCATTGGAGAAAGAGAACTGAGCAAGACCGCCTGAGTACGTACCACTAAAACTGAGACCATCGGCTCCAGGAGTACGACCGATGCCATACCGAGTCCCTAGCACAGGTTCCATAGGCTCGTTCAGCGTAGCTCGGCGCTGCCCAGGAGTACCAATAGCAGCAGCTCCAGGAGTAGCGAAAGGCATGCGAGATTGTTCGAGCTGATCGAAGCCGATCTGAGCGCCATGGCGGTTCTCAAATATGCTTGGATCAGGAGAGCCATTCACGAAGCGACCGCCGATGGAAGAAGACGGCGAGTCTGACGCGTTGGAGCCATTTTGCAAATAAGAGTCTAGAGTCGAGCTCCTGATAGACCGTGTGGGTACAGGCTGGTAGGGCGAGTTCTGGTCCCGTTCGGGAATCGCGCGATCGACAACGTTTTCCAAAGGACGAGACAAGCCAGGCGGTGTGACAGCGAGTGCGAGAGGCGACAAAAACACAGGTTGGCCCTCGCCAACACGAAGGATCAACTCTCCGACAGGAGTCCAGTTGGTGTCCAGATGGGTGCGTTTCATGAGCAGAGTAGGCTGGAAGTATCCCTCGTTATACCAACGTTGCATGATATCGGCTTTGAACGGTCCTGCAGGTGATAGCGTATGAGGTAACTTAGATGATTACCGAACTCTCAGCAACAACCCACCTTGTATATTTCCTTGGGGATCAAGGTAAGACCACTCGATAGCAGAAAGATCTCCGATAGCAGGGTTCGGCTGATTGGCCTGCGGTTGAGCGTCCTGCTGCCCGGAAATCGATATGCTCCCTAACTGCTCATTCACCATTTCTACCCCGTTCGGAGTACCATTACCGTTGACCGCATGAGATGTAGCTCCAGAGGGATCTTTCGCTTGATCAGAAGCTCCAAGAGCGTCCTCTTCTTCCTCCTTGATGTCCGGATCCTTCGAGTCTCCATCTGTCTCCTTGTCGCCCTTCCCTCCAACCTTCGGCACATTTTCGGACGTCCTCCTGCGAGCCGACCACGTATCGCTTAGGACACCATCGAACGCAGGTCTGACACGAGGCGAAGGCAAGCCGCCCTCCCGAGGAGACGCGAGTGCGCCCTGCATGTTAGACAGAGAGAGTTTCCGGGGAAGGCTCAACGGTGCTTGATCTTCAAGCTCGCCCGATCAGCTCGCACTCTTCCGTGACGCAGACTGCATGGACGTCACCTGTGCTGTCCCCCCTTCTTCTCCCCATCAAGCTTCCGATGCGCTCCCGCATAGGGCTGCCAGCACCGGAAGCAACGTGGTTCAGCTTCGGCCGCTCCCCCAGCCCAGACGTGTTGAGGGGCGATAAGAAATCCGTCGACTGGCGTCGGCGCACTTCCGAGTTGAGAGGGCCCGCGAATAGCTAACCCAGAGGACCCATGCGACCATCCACACGACACCCGACATCCCCGGCAAACCCAAGAAAAAGGAAGGAGAGATTCAGTGCCACCGACCTCCCCCACCGCACGCATCCACACGCGCGCCGGACGTACAAAAAATTGCGCACCTTCTTCTCAGCTTCGCTCATCTCCTTGAGCCCGACCGGCTCGTACCCTACTTCCCGCACGATCCCCTCCCAGCGCTCGACCTCGAGCCCGAGCCCGCCGCGGCCCCCTCCCTCTTTGTAGATCCTGAGCATCTCTTCCTTAGAATAGCGGAAAGGGTGCGCGACATCGCGGCCCTCCGGGGGCGGGTTGCTCGCAGGGGTGACGAGCGCAGAATACGTCGAGTTCCCGGGCGGCGCCGGGGACGATGTGAGCGGTGGGGAGGGCGCAGGCCGCGAGGAGCCCTGTTTGGTGCGCATCCACTCAGGACCGAAGTGCATAGTTGTGGCAGTCATTTTGCTAGTAGATATGGGAGCGAAGTTCCAGAGGGTGGGCTCGCGAGCGGGATGTTGGGAGTGTGCACTGTATAGCGTGCGGAGGGTGCAGACACAGTGGCAGCAGATATACAAAAAGGAAAAGCCGCAGGCTTCAGACCAGGCCAGCCCTCCGCCGGCCAATCAGCGCTTCCCTCAGGGCCGGCAGCGCTGGCGCTCGTCCACACGCGCAATGTGCCCCGTTTATTGCCACACGTTTCTTAACACGATGTGCGACGGCTACAGTCTTCTTGAGCCCGACTGTGACATGGCTGGCGGCATACGCACGCTCAAACCACCCAATACATCGTGCGATAGAGTAAACGACTAATTTTACAGCGTCCATCGACACCGGTCCCCACCGGAGGTCAAGAGTATATCCTCCACTCCCTTGTAGGGACGGCTGATAATACGCATCAGAACAATGACCGCGCAGCAGCAACAGCAGCAATAACAACATACCTTGCAGCTTCCTGGCTGTTGGTATCAGGAAGAAGAGGACGGAAAGCACGCCAAAGGTTATGCACAACGCAGAAACGATGTAGTAGCCGTCCTGCTCGGTGATGCACTCCCCTCCGACTTTTTGACAAGCAGCCCTTCCGTGGTCAGAGACACATTCTTGCGCTACCCATCGCAATCAGCTGATCTTGACATGCGATACATGGCAGAACATTGAGCATACCTTTGACAGAGAGGCTAGCACCGTCTATTTTACATGTCGCGATGCTGAAGTAGTCCACTCCTACGATGTCGTTGAACACATCAGCTCCGTCTGGGGGAGAGGGGGGGGCTGTGTTGACAACACATACCCTTGAGGACAAAATAACGGGGCCAAGTACCGCCTAGATTGGTGAACGTGTTCAACAGCTAGCATGCGGTCAGCACATCAATCACGATGGTGGACTTCGGAAGGCGCCTACAGTCATATATGTCCCACCAACCACAGGATCAGATATCCGGGTGTGGAACGCGGACATGCCACCGAATTGGATCGTGCTCGCGAACGACTGCGCGATCGTCAGCAGCACAAGGGAAACAAAGAAACCGGTCGTGATCGGCGGCTTAGGGAACCAGTAAACCATCAGAGTAGCAAGGAGCGTCAGACCCAGTCGAGGCCAGAAAGCGTATATCCAAGCTCGCAGAGGCTTGTCGCCTCGCGACCATTTGCCAGCGAGCCAGCCACCGATGATTTCGAAGGGGAAGTCGATGAGCACCGTGATGGCAAGATCTTCTCTTCCGAGGCCCTTCTCGACCATCTTGAGCTGTGTAGCGGCGTCGCTCGCTTGCCAACCAATTTTTGCGAGCAAGTGAACGCCGAGCAGAACTTGTACATCTGAAGGGAAGCCGTCAGTCACTGGGACTCCAGGACAAGAGAAAAGGTGCACGGACGTCGTAGCTTGCATATTTCCCACATGGTGACGTATACGGCCTTGATGCCAATATCCTCGGAGGTTTCTTTATCCTATTCAGGTAGACACGATGAGGACACTAGAGCGTCACGATTGGTTCTGTTCCGAACCGACACGAACCTCCTTGATAAAGAATAGCCAGATCGTAACTGCGAAGGACATAAACGCGCAGAAGAAGAGGTAAGAGCCCAGAGACAGTCTTGGGATACCCCATTTTTTGCTATGACCTTGTCAGTCAAGCATAGTCAATCGAGGACGCCGAACATGACCTACGCAAAATCTTCGCTGTTAAGCGCAAGGAATACCGTGTATGATAGAAGGTAGCCGGTGTTCAGACCAATGGTCTGACATGTGGAGGCATACGCCAGATTATCCTCCGAAAGGAGGGTCAGAGCCCAACCTGAAACAGTGTAAACGCCAGCTACGTGGTCCGCCCCTGCTAGTGCTTACCATCTACAGCGATATCTACAGCGCAGAGTCAATGCCATAATTTCAGCAACATAACGTGACGGTAACCCACCTTGCGTTGCGGAGAAGAAGACGAGCGACGTAAACGCGAAACTGAGCGCGTATAGGTGCTGACCAGGCTAGGTAGGGATCCTGCCTGAGCATGGAAGGAGGCGAAGAGCAGACGCGCGCTACCACTCACGTTTGCCATGAGTTCCTCGGCCTTGTACGATATTACAAGCATTGTAGTGCCAATTATGAGTTGCATAGGTATGATCCATGATTTGCGACGACCGACGGAGCGGATGAAGACAGAGTCTACGATGGGTGACCAGAAGAGCTTGAGGGAATACGGGTAGCCGGATAGCGAGAATACAGCGAGTTCAGAGTAGGATAGATGCTCTCGGAGAATAAATGGCACGGATCCCAGGGCAAGACCTAGCTGTGAGCGCGCTTTCTGTCAGAGCGCGTTGCAGAGGTATGGTATGCTGCCACACTCACTGGGAATCCTTGAATCAAGTCTTCGGTATGGTGACGCGTCAGCACACAGCGGATCCAGGCGAGGAAGATGGCTACGCACAAAGAATAATGAGCAGAACCACCGCCTGCTTGTCGCGTGCAGAGAAGGGTCGCTTCCCGTCAGCCTGGGCGAGGTACTCCTGCTCCTCCTCTATGGTCAAGTCGGCGGCGGCGGCACGACGCTCCTCTTCGCCTAGCAAGCTCAGCTCCACCTCGTCTACATCGTCCGGGGTGCGTCCACCATGACCGTGGGGTCGACGTGCAGTAGCGGGGGTCCTCGGAGTGCGTGGCACGATCTCTATGCTTTCCAGCGAGGTGGCGACGGCTCGAGGGTTCATGGGATCAGAGTCGACGGTGGCCGCGCCGTTTTTCTTGGCCGGGCGGCGTCGAGGTTTAGGATTCGAGGTAGAGGAGTGAGAAGTCATGCAACGAGAGGTGTGTGCGACACAGCAGGTCGGCAAATATGGCTCAGCTGGTTCTTCGCGACCTTCCACGATTTCGGCTATGCGTATGCGCCTCTCCGCGCTCCCCTCCGCGATCACCGCACGGCGTCTATGTGCTTCCTATCGTCCAGTTGCCGCATCTGGAAACTCGGCATCATGTGCACTGCCACCCTGCTCTTGACCCACAAAAATCATTACTCATCAAGCATCATCCCGTGCGCGCAGGCTCTCCAGACTGATACACAGGCCGTGGTTAACAGCATCCGCTTCCACCGACGAGGGAGGTCACGACTTATCCGTGGCTTCACCTCAACTTCCCCGTCTTCATCAACGGAGACCGCTACGGCGTAGCGTAGACTTGTTGGCATGCCATCTAACGATAGTGTCACGAGCCGCTCCGCGTCCACAGGCGCACCGTCGAAACCAACGGGAGCAAAACTCGCGAGAAAACGACCGCCATGGGCACTGCACTGGAGAAGCTCGATGTGGTTCATCACTTTGGGTACTGTGCCCGATTGCATACATATACAAATGACCTTGGGCTAACCTGCGTTCGATGATACGCAGCTGTGGGAATAGGTTTGCAGCGCAGCGCTCCTATCCCTCGCACCCCACGACTGACGCCACATATGCTGCAGGAGTAACGACTGATATCTTGGTATATTCAATGATTGTGCCAGTACTCCCTTTTCGTCTCCAAGATCTCGGATATGCGGACGTATCCGGTCTCGTTGGCTGGCTGTTGTTTGCCTATGCACGTTGAATCCCATTCAAGTCTCAGCTCGATCCAACAGCTGACAGGCTCTCACCAGTCCGCAGCTATAGTCATTTGTGAGCTTATGGACCTGTGATCCGTCAGAATGGCCATTCTCGTTTCTGACGCTTTCCCACAGCAACCCCTTTCATTGCTTACCTCTCAGAACGGTTCAAGAACAGGAGGGTACCTCTGCTGTGCGGTCTCGTCGCCCTCATCGGGTCGCAAATCATGCTCATGGAAGCGCCGACGTACTGGGTCATGGCTCTCGCACGAGTCTTGCAAGGAATCAGTGGGTCCGTGATCTGGGTAGTCGGTCTGGCCCTTGTGTAGGTACTTCCCTTTGCTTGCCACATTGACCTGACCCCACTAACAAGTTGCCCCAGCTGCGACACGGTCCCAGAAGCTGTCGTTGGTAGTGCGTTCACGTCCTCCACTATATGCGCCCTTTCTTAACTGACCCGAGGCTGCAACGTCAGAGCAACTGGGATTCGTCATGATAGGAATGTCCCTTGGGTAACGTCGCAGGGATTTTGTGGTGTCACGGACCCTCGTTGACTTCTGGCTCAGCTTCCTGGTCGGTCCACCAGTCGCGGGTGCCCTAGACAACCGCTTTGGCTTCCGTGGGCCGTTCATATTCGGAGTCATCGTCACGAGCATCGAGTTCATATGGCGGCTGCTCATCATCGAGCGTAAGGATGCAGTTCAATGGGACGCCTCGCTCGGCTCTTTGGTCGAGAGTAGTAACGCCGCACGGGAGCGCGTAGTCGCATACGGAGCGACGACCGAGGCGCGCAAAAGCGAAGAGCGCACATCTGAGGTCCCAACCCAAACAGTCAGCGAGAATGGCGCTGTCGTCGCTGAAGCTGCCAGCCGCGTATGCGCAGCCCTTCCGGCTGCAACCGATGTCGAATTTCAAGCGCAACTGTCTATCCTGGGCTTACTTCTCACATTAATCAAGTCGTCGAGAGCAATGGCTCCAGTGTTGCTGACTTTGGCATATGGGTCCGTCCGCCGTCTAACACATTTTCGGCCGGGAAAGTCCTTACGCGCAAGGCACAGAGTTGTTATGACAAGTCAGGAGCCTGCACTCCCCTTATATCTGCATTCCGCATACAGTTTTGGCGTATCAAAGGTCGGTCTTATATACATCGCAGCCGTAGTTCCGTCGTTTATATGTGAGCGTCTCCCGCTCTATGGCCTCCTCTCATACGGCTCACTCCGGACTGTCTAGCATCGCCCTTGGCTGGTTGGTACGCCGATCACAGTGGGACGGTCACGAGCACTCTCATTTGCCTCCTCTGCTCCCTCCCTTTCTGGATCCTGATCGCCTTCAAGGGCAACGTCGCGTACTTTATCGCGATGTTCGCCTTCCTCAGTACGTCTGCTCCATATAGCTTCTCAAGCAATTCCTCGCCGCCGCTCGTTTACGCGTTATGACGTATACTCCACCATGTAGACTTCTTCGTAGCCGCTCTAGTATCCCCAATCACGGCGGAGCTGGCCGCTGTCACTCGAAGTCTCGAAGGCGTTGGATGTGAGTGATCGGAGTCTCGGTGACGCTATACAGTGCACGCCAAATGAGCTCACGGGACATCGCCGCAGATGGCCACGTCTATGGTGCCTTCAATATGGCGTACGGGGTAGGCTCCGCAGGTTCGTGGCTTCTGTTCATAGAATTATTGGAACCCCATCTTGATCCTGCCAGTGTATAGTGGGGCCCGTCATCGGTGGTCAAGTACGTTTACGTAACGGCCTTCGTGCGCATTCAAGCTCACATCTTCCCATCGTTAGTTGTATGATCACGTTCCAAGGGGATGGATGGCGATCTGCCTTTTTGACGCGGGATTGGTCGTCATCTGCACGTTCATTACAGTATGCTTCTTCGGCGACCCTACAGCACTGAGAAGCATTTCGACCTATCTTCGCACTCGCCGGAGATGGAGCGAACAACGCAATGGAATGACAGCGGCATGAGGAGATATAGATAGTTTGGACAACACCTTAAAGAGAACCTCCGCTTTAACAGTGGATCAAGACACAATTATGTCATAATGTAGAGCGAGTGAGACGTGCGGCGCAGAATGTGGGAATTGATAGAATCAACTGGATGGCGTGCGCCTGATTGACGTGTATGCGTGAGAGCAGAGCAGTCGGGGATATATGGCTACATAGCTGTCTTGTTGGTATGCGAGTAATATAACGAATCCAAGCGGTGCGGTATAGATGGACCAATAGTACAACATATGCGTGGACAGTGGGTGTGATGGTGGATCCGTCAAACTTGAGGGATATCTTAGCAGAGTAGTGCAAGTGCGATAGCGTACAGATCTCGAGGAAGATGCGAATGATTAGAATGCGTAGGACGGATAGCAAATCAAAAAGAAAAAGTCCGTTGAGAACACGATGGCTATTACGGCGGTGTAGGTGGTGGGGAGGGTCGTTGTATAGGAATCGAAGGGTCAAACATTCCGAGCAACGACAGCAAATCGGCTATCCCACGATGTGAGCAATCGGAAACAATGAATCAGAAACCGACGTACTTTTCTTCAGCGGTTTGCTCAAGAAGCCATTCATTCCTGAGCTCAGACATAGCTGCTTCGTCGACTCTTGACAGTCCGCACTCAAAGCAACAACTGGAGAAGCTCGTCAGCCATGCGGGTTGTATATTCGGATGAAAGCTTACTCGGCAATAAAACAGGTACTTTGCGCTTCCCCTCGAGTACGCGTATTCGTTTACAGGCTTCGACGCCGTCACATATTGGCATGTCTGTAGCCAGACGATGTCAGACAACGTAGCCCTGTAGGTGTGAAGGGTACGTACGGTGGTCGAACATCGCGATGCTGAAGTACCCAGGCTCGTGACGTTCCCATTCTGCAATCGCTTCTTCCCCATTGGACGTCGCGACTACATTGAGCTCATATCGCTCCAGCTGCTTCATCAGCAGTTTTTGTGCCACAGGATTGTCTGCATATTTATCGTCAGCGAGTCTGCCATATAACGACAGACTACACGTACCTTCCGCCACGAGCACATTGCCGAACAACGTCCGCTGCGCCAAAGCCTCCTCTTCGCGCAATTCGGAAGCATTGACCACAGGTTTGAACGGAAGCTTATCGAGGATGTTCTTCAGAGTTGCTAGCATCTGCAGGAGCTTGAACTGTCTCGGAGGCTTCGTCATTCGCACGATACCAGGCGGAGTCTCCATATCGTTCCTGAGCATCGGGGCCCCTGCAAGGTTATCGGTGGTGGGAGTGAAGAGGTGGATGATCTTCGTTTCTTGCATCGTCTGGTATGGCAGTGTCCGTACGAACCGCGCGAGGTTGTCCGCGCGCACTTCTGACTGATCATCCACGAGGATAAAGTCCAGCTGCTGAGAGACGAGCTCCGGATTGCGTAAGCGCCTTTCGACCTCATCAATAGATCCGACGGTGGTGACATCGAAGCCGTCTAGCATTGTTCGTAGCATAGAGAGTGTCGCGGAGGAAGCAGAGCTCACTAGCAGCCGCAGCGGCTGCAAGTGCATGACGGTTTTCTCGACCGCCGACTGCATTTGTCGCGACTCTTCTGACTCGAAGATCTTGACTGGGATGGTGAACCAGAACGTTGAACCGGCTCCGAGCTCAGACTGGACGCCGATCACTCCTCCCATCAACTTGACCAGTTGTCGCGAAATAGAGAGGCCTAAGCCAGTGCCGCCGAAGCGTCGGGTTGACGAGTTGTCAGCCTGCTGGAAGGGGACGAACAGCTGGTCGACATCGCTGTAAGGAAGGTTGAGCAGATACGCATTACACAAACGCCCATGGGACCCACCTCGGACCCAAGCCGATACCGGTATCCCTGCAGACCATGCGTTAGAGAATCATTAATGCGATTTCTGCACAACTTACTGTATTGAGAACTTCAGAGACACGTCTGTGGCAGTACGCGGGGCCGTAGTGTCAACCGAACACGCCACTTGCACGAAGCCAGTCGCGGTGAACTTGACGGCATTGCCGATCAGGTTCATGAGCACTTGACGAATACGCGCGTAGTCCGCTTTGACCCCTGGACCACAGAAGCATACATCAGACGAGCATACACCAAACTTAGGAGCTAGCACCCACAAGGTGGAACGCTGGGCTCGATGTCGAACGACAGATCGAGTTTCTTGGCAGCCATAGGAAGGAGCAACTCCATACAATCCGCCAACAAGTTCTCAACGGAGAACCCAGAGTATTCCAACTTCACGGCGTCGGCCTCGAGTTTGCTGTAATCGAGGATGGAGTCGATGATCTGGGAATAGTTAAGCGCAGACCTGGCCGAGACAATAGGATTGTCATACCTTCAACAAGAGCTCGCAAGACTGTTTGGCAGTTTGAACTACGAGTAAAAGATAAGTCCTGTGATCACATATGACGAGACGGCTGAGTCATACCGATCTCCCGCTGACCAGCATTGAGTTCGGTACCGCTGAGGATATCAAGCAAACCGTAGAAAGAACTGAAGGGCGTGCGCAACTCGTGGCTCATCGAAGCCAAGAAGTTGCTCTTGATCTGGATACGCGATCTGTGTTAGCACCACAACGTTCCCGATAGGCACCATCCACATCTACATACCTTCGTGGCCTTGAGGGCATCCTCACGGCTCTTCCTAGCTGCTTCAAGCGCGTCCCTCTGAGCCGAGATCATCTTTAAGTTTTCCTTCGTCCCCGCCTGCACTGAACGGAACAACAGAGCGTTCGAGATTCCTACACTCGCTTGTTGGCAGAGCAAGGTCAACATGGTAACGACGTTTGGAGCGAAGGCGTATTTCGAAGCCAGATAGACAACGCCGAACGTCTGCCCACGGTTGCTGAAGATCGGGATGCAGATAACAGACCGGTGGGGGCTTTGCTGCGCTTCCGTAGCGAAGCGGGGTTCAGACGCGATGTCTTCGTAGTAGACCCGCTCCTTCGAGTTCAAAGCTACAGATAACAAGAGGGCTCAGTCGAGGGAGAGGAAAGTCGAAACTAGCGGCTCACCATGTTGAATGATCATTCTCCGCAGCGGATCGGAAATGGAACGAATAGGCATCGGGTTCTCGTGGACCTTGCACGCTTCCGGAGGATTCATACTGGTGGCGACCGTGTAGTCTCCTGCCTCTCGTGCAATGACGACACATGTGCTCTGGCTGACGGAGATCTCGGTGGCGATCTCGGTCAACCTCTGGAGAGCCATCGAAAGGTTAATGTCCCCCGAGATCTCCTTGCTCCACTTGAGGATGGACGCGAGGTCGGCTGCCGTCAACGTGGAGATCTGCTCTTCCTCGGAGGCATCCAGACTCGTTCGTTCGAACGGTCCTTGTAGCGTGGGCTGCGCAGAAATGACGACGCTGTCCGTCTGCACGGCGACATCTGCGGAAAAGATGTGTCGCTTGAGGGGTACAGGCTGAGCGCGCGTCTCGAGGAGTGAAGAGAGGTAGGTGCTGCATGCATACGTAAGTCAGACATGAGAAAACTCGGGCCATAGCATTCGGGAAGCTTACACGAGGCCCCTCGCCCCCCATTGAGCTTGCCTAGCGATGCCGCGACGCTGCAGCTCGCTTCCGAGACCCTCCACACCACATCGCACGAAATGGCTCCCTTGCTTTACTAGGTGTCAGATGCACGCCCCACATCGAACGTGAATGTTACGTACCAGGAACAGTCCCAGCCCGCCCTCGAGCAACCAATCGTTGTTCACGGCAAGCTTGACCGCAACATCGTATAACTTGAACGCGTCGGGATTGTTGGTCAACGAAGCCATCTCCGCATCGACGAGGGCTACCCAAGTGCTCGTGTTAACCGGGCTCGGCGACAGCCACTTCCGAATGTACGACTGATTGGTCTCAATCTGCTTGATGTAGCGAGTGCGTTCTTCCGGGGTGACCGTTCCTCGCCGCACGCAGTCGATCAGCGCGAGACAGTGAAAAAAGAGGGAATAGCGGGTATGTCGATGGCTGCGATCAGAGGCGCACGTTCACCGGTGGCCAGACATGAGAGGCAGACCAGGTACTCACTTCGGGTTGGTATCGCGTGTCTCGTACACGTTGAATCCCAATTTTGCCGCTTCCTCGACGAAACCAAGGCAATACAAGCCAACGAGCTTGAACGAGTTGTACCAGTTCATCGCGGTTCGCAGTTGCTCTACGGACTCCAATTGAACCAGGTACTCAGCCTCGATGAACCCCTCCGTGTCGAACGCCGTCTCCGGAGCACCAGCGACGGTGTAGCCGCCGATGGCGCGGATGCAATTCAAGGTGCCCTGAGCCAGGATGGACATGTCGCCGCTAGGCGTCCACAATGTGATGTCGGACACCGCTTCTTCAGCCCCGATGACGAGCTCGCTCACTACCGGACGGTCAGCCCGCAAGAAAGTACTGATTGGTGGGACTTACGATGGTCGCATATATACAGCCTCGTCACGATGAGGTGTGCAGTAGCGAAGCCCGTGTATATCCTATCGCCTGCGCTCTGGCCATATTTGATCGCTTGCTCCAGCCGCGGGACGTTCGCGCGGATATGCACATTGTCGAAGCCGGAGACCATGATGGAGAACAAGAGCAAAGCGCGGCTACGACCCGCACCCCATTTAAGCTCAGTAAGTGGCGCAACCGAACAAGTACGGCCCGAGCTCACTCACCACTTCTCGAAGTTCGTTCCGTAAGTGTCCGCGATACGCAAGGCCAGCTTGCCGAGGTCGGCGGAGAATCGGAATAGCTCGCGTCGTTCTGCGGCGGCTTAAGAGTAAGAGTAAACGACGATTGATCAGGACTTGAAGGGGGCACATCGTGGGGATGACGTGGCGCACCTCCTAGGGCCCAAAAGAAGCCGAGGGCAGTACCCGGACACATCCCAGCCCTGTCCCCCACTATAAGGCTCCACAATCCAGTCTAAAACGTGGATAAGCTTACCGCAACGCGAGCTGAATTGTCTAAGGAAATTCGCCCGTCAGAACGATTGATGGCGGCCACAGTAGGCGGGATACTACTCACCGTCAGTCCGATAATGTCCGCGAAACCTTCCCCCTTGCTCCAGTAAGCGTTCGTGCCTACGTAAGACGCGCATCAAATCGTGGAGACATCGGGCGCGCTGGACCGACGTACCGGCGTCGTTGAGTAGAGCTATAGCCAAATCCGTGCGGCTGTCGCGCGCGCGGGGTATGGCGAGGATGTCATCGAACCCTACCGCGAGAATCTCATTCTTCACTTGCTCGAACATGATGTCGGCTTCTCGGCGTGTGGGAGCCGCGTTCACTTCGACGCCCAGGAGGTGTAGACCGAGCGTGTTGTCATTCAACGCCGCTGTGTAGTTACCCCGCATCCAGTGATTACGTGACCGGAGGCGGAGCAGCCGCGCCTTCTCCTCTGGCTGCTCGCAGTGCTGTAGGCACTCCTGTATAAAATTGTCGGACAAGGTGAACTCCGCCTTCCAGGTGTAGAGCCTATCGTGTGTGATAAGCCTCGGAGGTCTGGAGAATCAGGGTGGACCACGTACTCCGCCAGACGCATGTACAAAGAAGCTGTTCGTACTGGATCAGTCTTCCACGGATCATCGTCAAGGAGCGAACGAGCGTTCATGTATGATTGGAGCGCAAGCTAGGGAACCTTCATCATCAGCTATCGTTCACAAGTCAAAGTGAAACTGCAAACCTCATGTGCGCCTCGCGCTCTGGCAGAGTCTCCGGCTTCAATAGACATCTCAAGAAGCTCGTCACGCTTAGAGTACTCCCGAAGCAGGGGTAGACACCTGGATTGGATTATGAACTCCTCGTCCTGGAGACTAAAGCACAAGATGATAAACTCACCGCTTGGCATGCTCGGTGATACGATAAATATCCGGTGTCGCATCGTGCAACATCATGAGAATGATCTAGCGCAACACGACAAGGATCAGCCACAGCACACCACACCAGACACTACCGCACACACCCTGAACGACATCTTCGCGATGACCTCCTCCGACTGCGCCTCCGCCTCGACCTGCGCCGCCTGGCGGTACCGGTCGTGCGAGAAGCTGCACATGTCGCGGGCGCGCTGGATGAGCCAGCCCTCGGTGATGGCGGTCTGCAGGCCGCGGATGGACCGCCGGGTCGAGCTCGTCTCCTTCTCCCTCTCCTTGATCTCCTTCACCGCCTTCGTCACGTTCCACAGGTCGCCCCTCTGCTCGTCCTCGGTGCTGCTCCCGCTGCTCTCGCCCGAGTCGTCCCAGTCCATGAGCAGCGCGACCTCGGCCACCTTGAACCTGCCGCCACATCGCATGAGCCTCGATCGCAAACCATCCACACAGGCGCCGATCGCTCACGTTGGTCCGAAGAACGACGCCCAGATGACAAACTTGCGCGCGTCCTCTGGCAGCTCCCGCAGGTGGCTGATCAGGAAGTTCAGGTCTCCTGGGGCAGCGGACTTGAACTTCTTGTCGAACAGCGTCTTCTCGATCTTGCCAATGTCGAACCTGTTCCCCGTGCTCAGCACCCTCCAGCACGCCTGCTAGTGGGGACACTTACTGCCAGTTGTTCTTGTCCCAGTCATACCATATCTACAACGGCACCACACGTGTCAATCGAGGAGCAGAATACCGAATAGCGGCGTGGGAAACGCACCAGACTCTGACGATGCAGTGTGGTAAGGATGTTCCTGGCGGAGAACGGGTTGCCTTCGGAGGAGGAATGCACAATGCGTGCCAGATGGGAGACGTCTTCCTTTGATCGGTGTAGTGTGCGAGCGATGAGTGTAGATACAGCGGGATAACCTAGGGGCTCCAGATTGATCCAGGTAGTCGACTTCGTGGAGAAGGTGTGTCGGATCCGGTCAAACTTCTCTCTGTGCGAACAGACTTTCAACAAGTGCGAACGGCCATCCACAGGTCTATGAACTCACGGCTTGTCCGACCGTACGGTGCCAAAGATCAACTGTTGTGGTTATGTGAGCACTGCGTGAGCGATGACTTCTTAGAGATTAACACGTACCAGCCTTGTCCGAGAGTTCACCAAAGCACTGATGAGCTCCAGGGAGCTGAAGGCGCATGTCAGACGGCGAGGTGCAAGGGCACACGGCTACTCACGAATCTGGGGCTTCATGCAGATCGTCCAAGAACAGCGCCAACAGCCGCGTCTCCGAAAGCACCGAAAACACGGTCTCAACCAGCGACTGGAAGCGAGCAGGAAGCTCGTGCGCCTCCGAGGCCTCTTGCGTGGGCTCGATCGAGATGTTGAAGAGCGAGAAAATCGTCTTCAGCTCGGGGGCGCCTTCGTACAAAAGGGGAACGTTCTGCATCTGCGGCCCTAGCCGTCGTTTGAGGTCGGTGACGAAGCGGTGAAGATCCGAGTGGAAGACGATGAGCTGCCTGAGGACATGCGACAGGCACGCGAGCTGTATAGACCATGGTCATTTCATGCGCATGTCAACCACGGACTTCAGTAGACTCACCAGCGATGCGAACGGACCCGGCTCGACTTCTGAGAACTTGGCCTGTCCCCACAGCCCATGTGCTAGAAACGACATCATTAGACGCTCAGCCGGGGGCTGAAGAAATTCGGACGCACATCTCCATTTCGCTTGCTGCGCCAAGATCAGCGAGCTCTTGCCGGCGCTACAACCCACGGGTCAGTCCCCACCCAGCGGTCCCCAGTGCCAACCACGACTCACCCAGCTGGACCCACAATGATGGCCGCATGCGTCCTCGCCCGTCCCTGGGACGGCGCCAACGCGACCCTCCGCAGCCCGTCGCTCGTCGGGATCGTCGACCCAGACGTCACCGTGCCCGACCCCGGCGCCCCCGGCAACTCGATCGACGACACCTTGGACTGGGGCGAGTCCGGGGACATGTTCATGTGGCCGGACGCCTCGCTCTTGGACGACTGCGAGTCGCTCGGGTCCTCGGGGCTGCCCGTCGAGCCGTTCGAGCTGACGACGAACGACCCGCGCGAGGTCGCGAGCTGGCGCGAGTAGCTCGTGGACGTGTGCCGGATGATGTTCCGGATCGTCTCGAGCTCCTTGTCGCGGCCGAACAGGGGGCTGGGCATCGTGAACTCCAAGCACCGGTCCTGCATGGCGATGTCGAAGTAGGGGATGAGCTCCGCCGGCTCGTCCGAGGAGAGGGCGACCGCAGCGAGGAGCCGCCTCTGGCACTCGAGGAGGTCCTGCTTTAGCCCGTACGCACTCTGATACCGTGCATCCGGCGATTTGGACAGCAGCTTCTCGATGATCATCGCGAGGACCTGCGGAATGTCACGGCGGACTTCATGGACTGGCATCGGCCGCTTCTGCACCACTGCATGCAACAGCTCCAAAGGCCCGCCCTCAAAGGGCATCGTCCCCCGACCTACCAACAATGTCCAGAACATAATCCCAAGGGAGTACAAGTCTGTCCGGTGGTCCTCCGCCAGGTTCTCCATACTCCCCGTCTGCTCCGGCGCAAAATAGCACAGTGCCTCCTTCACCTTGAGCTTCTGCACCTCCTCGAATGCATCCGCCTTCAGCACGAACTCCGAGGGCACGCCAAACTGCTCCAGCGAAACTGCGCGGTTTCCGAAATGGACGACCCGCACCAAACCGCTGTGGTGATTCAGGTGAAAAGCGTTGGCGCGCACCTCTCGGTGGATGAGCCCGTGCCGGTGCATCATCTCTAAACAATGCGTCGCCTGAATCGCAAACTCCAGGAACGTCGCCAGGTCCATGATCTCTATGGCCTCCATCTCTTCCATGATGTATGGCTCCTCGACTCCAGACATGTAGATATCGCGATGTGTTGACGCCGGGCGGGCGCGTGAGATGTCACCGAGGAGCAGGCTGTTCACCTTCGCAGGTGGGAAGTAGCGGCCGAGGATGTTGAGGCCGGGGTGGAAGAGGAGGAGAACAACACAGTCTCCGTTCGTCTTGGGTATCGTGAAGAAGTCGATCATTCGTAACGTCGTACTTGACGACTCGGGATAGGCGGCCATTTTCTCGAGGCTACAAGTAGCACATAGTCAGCAAACTATCGCGATATTGGGCGCTCTTGCGCTGCAAATGAAGGCCAGGGCTGCATGGTATCCGACGCGACGATCCCCGTACTCCAGTGGAGCCCCGAGCGTGATAGCAAGGAGTACTCACATATGGGCCTCGCGCTCGAGCAGCATAGACGCGTTCGAGTGTGCGGGCACAATCTTGGCGAGGACGCTGGTGCCGTCCTGCAGATTTGTGCCCTCCGCGAGGAGGGTCATGCTGCCCGTGTCCTCCCATGGTACAGCCTATGATCGGATGCGGATGCGCGGAAGGAGACAGTCAGCGGCTTGGAGGAGTGCGCAGGACGCGGCGGGAGACGGACCTTCTCGAAAGTGTATCCAGGGACAGATAGGATGCCATCTCTGAAGTAAAGCGTAGGAAGAGCCGGTTGCGCGTATTTGCGGCGCATGGTAGGGCAGAGGACCCAAGGTAGGGGAGGCGGCGCGGGCTAGAGGTGGAGGGTGCGGGGGTGAGAGGGGATGAGAGGCTGCCGTAGGGCAGGAGGAGGAGAGGCGGAGAGTCTGGGAGAGATGGCAAGTGGAAGGAGAGTCAGTAGTACTTGGTGTTTCCGAAGGAGGGCTATCGAACCGGGCCTTGTGGTGGCTCTCGTTGGCTCTCCGTCGCTGTTCTGCTCCCCTGCCCCGCGGCCCAGGCCCCCGTTCTGATGGGTCAGCGCTACTGGGGGTCAGCCGTTGACGTCACTCCCCCGCGCTCTCCCATTTCCCTCTTTGGCCACCCACCCATCTCTCATCGGCACAGCTATATCCCTCTCTTCATACAGCCGCCACACCAGCGTAAGTATGTCCCGCTGAACGTCTACCCTTCCTGCGCGTCTACTCCCTCAGGCACAACGACAGACATTGTAGCGTGACAGTAAGTCAGATAATCTGCCCTCAATGTATTATCAAAGAACTTCCGAGCAACGTCAATACTGCTCTTCGCGTTGACAAGCTGCACTACGACTGTGATGTGCTCACGTACTCCCCACGGCATTCCAAAACGCGGATCTGTAGGCCCAAATCAAACAACCGCACGTCAGGACAGCATTACGCGGATCACCCTTCTAACCACGGGGGCGTCCATATAACCAAACACCCTCGGCACGACAACCATACCTGGTCTCGCGCGATTATACCGAAGACTCCCATTCGCGCGAAATAATGCACCCAATTGAAGTACAGCTTGGCTCGATGCATCGCCATGAATATCATCCGTTTGACTAGGAGAGAGGTGGTGCGGCAGGACACTATGGTTACAAGAGACAGTATTCTACGACAGAGACAGCGAGAAAAGAAGTGCGAGAGCAGCGCGAGCCCGCAGCTCGGCGAATTACGACGTCACTGAAGATATCATTAGCTACGAACACACCGAGCACACGGCACATCAACACTCACTGTAGCTGGCGGGATCGATGTGATCCGGAAGCTCAGGTACGGCGACCTCGAAGCGGGACTGGATAGCCGCCATCACCTGCTGGTCACTTTCCGAGGATACGAAGGTGATGGCAAGGCCCTTTGTGCCGAAACGGCCGGCACGCCTGCGAAGAGACTTTCAATGTTGTCCCGGTCATAGTGTGCCTGGAAGAACTCACCCGACACGATGCAGGTAGCTGTCGGCGTCAGGAGGGCAGTCGTAGTTGATGACAATATTCACACGCTCGACATCGATGCCACGACCAAATATATCGGTCGCGACAAGGATACGCTTCTCAAACGCCTTGAAGGCAGTGTATCGTGAGATACTGGAGGCAACGATGAGCACGCTGTACTGGCAAAAAGACCAAGTCACGTACCGCTCTTCCTGAGCGAGGCCGGAGTGAATCGCGATACTGGGGAAATTGCATGATACAAGGAGCTTGTCGAGTTCGATTGCACGCGCAACAGACTTGACGAAGATCACGACCTACATATATGGCGTTAAGCGGGATTCCGACAAGGGGCGCACGACAGTACTCGCCTGATTGAAGTCAAGAGTGTCAAGAAGCTCGTTCAGCTTCCGATTCTTGGCCACCTCCTCCAGCTTCACGTAGTGCTGCTGGAGACCGTGGAGCGTAAGCTTGGTCTCGTCATCGACGAAGATTTCGAGAGGCTGCAAAGACAACGTTAGCCTGATTGTTACATTCAAAGACAACAGTCACCTACATGATCCATGAACTTTTTGCAAGTGATACGGATCTCCTTGGCCAGGGTAGCGGAGAACATCATGACTTGCTTGTGTAGCGGCGTCGCCCGGAAGATCTCCTGGACATCGCGACGCATGTCTGGAGGATGGCGGTAGTTACGGTGAGATGACGTTGTATGTAAAACGAAGCAAAGAAAGGAACTGAGAACGGAAGGCGGCCGCGGCAAATTTCAGACAGGAGACAATGCTGTAGTTTGGCGGTTGCCCCTCGGAAGTTGCGTAACGTGTTGGCCCGACGTCAACGAAAGACGATCGCAGCCTTGACCGTCGAGACCGTCGATGCTTCATCCGCTTCTCCTGTCCACGTGTTCCCCACTCGCAACAACACCCACAAAATCCACGACTCCGCCGAAACCAAGGCCCAGATCGTCGCAGGAGGTCGCTAGGCACTGGCGTGCCGCATCACGAGACAGCCAGACGCGAAGTGAGGAAGTCCGACAAGGCCGATGCCGCGAGGACAACAAACGATGCACGAAGGATTATGGGGGGCCGAAATTCGCATGAGACTAACCAAGCTGTTCGAGCATTTTGTCGCACTCGTCCAGTATGAAGTGCTTGATCTTCGAGGCGTCGAGGACCTTGTCTCTAACGAGGGCGTTCAGGCGGCCGGGGGTGGCGACCACGATATGCGGGCACTTGCTCTTATCGCGGAGCAGGTCGGCATCCTTCACCACAGGCGTGCCACCGAAGAACGTGTTAACACGGACATCGGGCATGTACTTCGCGAAACGCGAGTACTCGTTCCTGATCTGGAATGCGAGCTCGCGAGTGTGGCACAGGACAATGACCGACACCTCGCCGTTGACCGGCTCGAGCTGCTGCAGAGTCGCGAGGACGAACACCGCCGTCTTTCCATGACCAGACTTGGCCTGGCACAGCACGTCCATTCCCAGGACTGCCTGGGGAATACACTCCTGCTGCACTGTTCACGGGAGTGGCGTTAATCAGCATGCGCTAAGACGCCGTAGATGTTGCACAAACCTTCAGAGGGATGCTCGAAACCCAGATCACTGATTGCACGCAGCAGCTCAGGCTTCAACAGGAAATCCCTACGCGTCATTGCCAAGTGGCACGCGTCAATAAAGCGTTCTGGAGACGTCCTAAGCGAGATATCACAAACCTGAATCCTGTTGAGTGAATGCCCGAGAAGTTTTTCTTATCTTTCTCCCCATCGCCGTCAGCCGCAGGAGCTGCGACTGCGCTACCATTGCCGGCCGCCGCTGGGGGCCCGTTGGTGACCACGTCGTGCTCGTCCTCGTAGTCGATGAGTTCTTCGTTGTCGTGGGCGCTCATTGTCGTTGTTGGGCAAGAAAAGAAAGAAGCTAGGATAGGATTAGGAGGAGAGCAGGAGGTGGACAGCAGGGAAGATGGCGGTGGGAGGGAGAAAAAGGGCGACGCGCGACTCGACGCGTGGCGCCAAAGCGCCTTGTCCAGTGCACGGACCCCGGTCACGCCCCTCGCCGCCCCGAGCGCCGTCCTGAACTCCTCCATTGAATAGATCCCCTCTGCCAATCCCGGTTCAGCATTAATATAAAGCCTTCGTCGATACACGCCAGCCTCGTGTTGTGCTCTATGCCGCCACCACACGCTTGTCCAATGGACGACCTTGTGCACGTAGAACCGGCAGCACTGTCGCGCCCTTTCAGGCTGCCGAATCCTTATTTGTAATTGCAAGTTAATATCGGCATGATTGTGGACGTCGGACGGACGGCCAACATACGGCCGACCCTTTCCCCTGGAGGCGCGGACTTGCGGTTTTCACTGTGTTCGCTCCTTGTTCCTTCTCGTTCATGAAACGCACGCACATTGAGGCAGCCGCAGTTTAGAGGATCGGACCTGCCTTTATATACCTAGACGTGTCGTTGCGACGTCCTTACCAGAGTCCTCGCCATGCCTCAGACGAGTTATCCCTTCTGGTGAGTTGGTCGTCACTGCGAGCCAGCTAGCCTCATGCTGAGTTGCGCTCGACGACCCAGGCTCGGCGGTATGTCCCGGCTTTCTGTTCACTGTCTAGGGAGTTAATAGGAAACGCGTTGTCGGCTGTGGAACGTAGGTGTCGGAGCGACAAGTGAGTACCCTATTCCTTTCGCTGTCAAGTATCCAACTGAGCGATGCACTCGCGTTCCCAGTGGCTGCGTGCTGCACACATCCACTGGACCTTACGAAAGTGTGAGCGGCAGCACTCTGCCGGAAGCGTGACCGATTCCTTAGCTGAATGCGTGGACAGTCGGATGCAGACTATGCAGCCGAGTGCTGCTCACCCATCAACACTCTCCATTTTACGGATGACCGTCGCAGAGACTGGCTTCAAGAGCCTTTACACTGGACTTTCCGCGTCTCTTATGCGACAAATGTCCTACTCCCTTGTCCGCCTCGGTGCCTACGAGAAGATGAAGGTGCACTTGTCGAGAGATGGGCCAGCCCCTGCCAGTCATCTCTTCTTGGCAGCGATGATAGCCGGCGGCCTGGGGGGTATCGCTGGGAACCCGGCCGGTAAGTGTCATGCTACGCATGTGTTTGTCTTTACTAACCGAAGGCTATCACAAGACATTCTCCTTGTTAGGATGACGAGTGACTCCGTAAGACCAGCGGAGGAGAGGTATAATTACCGCAATGCCGTCGCCGGCCTTGTACGACTCGTTAGAGAGGAGGGAGTACACGCTTTGGGCCGTGGTATGGGCACCAATTTGGTACGAACCTGCCGACACGCTCCGTCCTATCTGCGTTCTTATTCAAGGAACAGACACGTGCGATCCTCATGAACGTGAGTTTAAGATGAAGCAGACACCGATTGCCCTCATGGCTCTCACCGGGGCTTCCTAGGGTTCTCAGGTTGGATCGTAAGTCGATATCCATCCTTGCTATAACGACAAGAATTACATTGTCGCCGTGATCCAGATATGACCTTTTCAAGCAACTGCTTTTAAGGAACAGGCTGCCTATCGTTGATTACCAGATGAAGGATGGCCTGTTCCTCCATTCGGTTGCTAGCGTACTGGCCGGGACCGTTGCAACCAGTGAGTGAACGGCACACGATGAAAGGCCTGAGCTAACTTATTGTGTATCGTAGCCATAACGGCCCCGGCAGATGTTCTGAGATCCCGATTGATGGCTGCAGTACGTCTACCTTTCGACGGCATCCCCTGAGCTTAGCTAACTTCGGTTCGCAGCATGGCAAGACAAGTCCAGTGCAAGTCTTGACTACAGCGCTCAGGAATGAAGGGCCACGCTTCTTATTCAAGGGTTGGACTCCCGCATTCATCCGTCTGGGGCCCAACACAGTGTTGATGTTCGTATTCTTCGAGGTGAGGCATATTGACACGTCGAATGCTCGCTCTGCTCTTACTGTGGTGATCAATAGCAATTAAAGAAAGGATGGCGAACCATGTTCCCCGCAGACTACGTCTTGTAGCGCCTTCAGAAGCATCCATTATCATTATTCGTGTCCCGAAGGTAGAGGTAGTCGTTCGTTCGCTCGTACGGTAGACTAGATGGAACATAGAGCCCCAGCTACCTAGACCTAGAGCACTCCTGCATTGCCCTTAGTAATATCAGATCCATGTATATGCTAGAGCGATATGTATATCCGCGCACTCCATACCTTGGCTAATGACCACATTTGTTCGGTGTCACAGAGCCTCAGTTGTTGCAAGCTTTGGGCCATGCTCAGGTCGCGCCCCATGCATGTGACCCACACTGTACTGCGCGAGCGCGTTTTTCCAAAACGAAATCCTCCACCGCGACGCTGCAAGACGCCCCTGCAGACTTCCTGCCTGGCTATTATTTTGCTTGCTTCACCCTTACTAGTTTCTCTATACCAGTTGCGCTCGTTGGTTCTACTGAACCTCTGTTGAAAATTTTATCTTGGCCTGAACAGCTCGTGATACCATGGAAGCCTTCCACTTGTTATCCCGCGGAGGGGCGAAGTTTGACAAAAAGAAGTTCAAGTCAGAAGTCTCACTATTTAATGTAAGTATGCTATGCGTTACGCGTGCAGTGTTATTTATCTTGGTCGCAGGGCAGCAAGGGTAGAGAGCCCAAAGCCTCTTCTTCTGCCCACGCGCTGGCGGGCGAGCTCCCTCCGGAACTGGACTTCTTCAAGTACGCACAGGGCGGGATTCCGAAGCGCAAAGCCGACGAGGTGGAGGGTGGTATTGACCTCAAGGGCAAGAAGCGGAGAGTTGAGGGTGACGACGAAGACGAGGACGAGGTTGTCGGGAGCCGCGATGCGCAGCAGACGGAGGACGATCCACCCATGCCTCGGCATCGTGTCACGACTAAGGGAAAAGACGTGCCCGAGCATGTGGAGACGTTTGAGGCTCTTCGCGAGCGGTTTCACCTGCCCTCGCACCTCCTGCAGAAACTCGCTCAACATGGGTACAAAAGACCGACTGGGATACAATCGCATGGCATTCCTATACTCATGGAGGTATATCTTCTGTCAATAACGATATCTTAGTTAGTCGGAGTACTGACCTGTCCCTAGCGTCGAGACCTTGCCGCGATATCTCCAACTGGTACTGGTAAAACGCTCTCGTACCTACTGCCCGTCATGGCTGCCCTTGGTGCCCCCGCGGCGAGCTCGAAGTCAGATGCCGGGTCAGGCGTGCGTGCAGTCATTCTCGCGCCTACGCGCGAGTTGGCGCACCAGATACACAACGAGTGTCTCAAGCTTGCGCAAGGCCGGAAGTGGCGCATAGTCCTGTTCAGCAAGGCAACAGCCGCGACTCTCGCGGACAAGAAGGTGCGGGAGAAAATTGGTACGTTCCTCATAGCAGGAGTCGCTGGCATATGTGCACTATTGTTTATCTGTTTGTGTTCAGATATAATCATCAGCACGCCCCTACGACTCGTAGCATCTCTGCAAGCGGGGAACCTTGAGCTAGACAAGTGAGTCTAATGACGTAGGCGCATACAGTCGACCTGAGCCATCAAATTTTCAGCGTCCGACATCTTTTCCTTGATGAGGCGGATCGTATGCTCGACACTGAATTCTTGGAGCAAGTTCAGGAAGTCATCGCTGCCTGCACGCATCCCGAAATTCAGAAAGCAGTGTTCAGTGCGACACTGCCTGCAAACGCTGAGAAGATCGCGATGTCCATGCTCCGCGACCCAATACGCGTCGTTGTCGGATTGAAGTATGTACATGCAACAAACCGCAACGCTGATATGACATCTCACTCTTCATCCTAGGGATACCCCCCTTCCTCTTATCGCCCAGTCACTCACCTACGTTGCGGACGATCAGTCCAAACTACCCACACTTCTGCAGTATTTGTCGCAGCCGTACAACCCCCCTGTACTCATCTTCGTTTCCTCACAACCGCGCGCAACTTCGTTAGCGGAAGAGCTCGTGATAGCTGGCGTCCCCAACGTCGATTGCTTACACGCCGGTATGACGAAGAAGGAGCGAGAAGACGCCGTATCTCGCATGCGGCGTGGTGAGAGCTGGGTCATGGTCAGCACCGAGGTCATGGCTCGCGGTATGGATTTCAAGGGTGTTCGGGAAGTCATCAACTACGACTTCCCGCAGAGCGTCCAAAGCTACGTCCACAGAATCGGCAAGTTGGAGCAACTGTCTACAATGCAAAGCCATTGATTGTCTAAGTCAGGTCGTACTGGGCGTGCTGGTCGCGAGGGCAAGGCCATCACCTACTTCACGAACGAGGACGCCCCATTCCTGAAGACGTAAATACTCCGCTGTTTGTTTTGGAGAGTGTGCGATCTCTTATTGTCCTGCGCAGGATCGCCAACGTACTCCTACAATCTGGATCCACTGTTCCGGAGTGGGTCTTGAAGCTTCCCAAACCGTCGAAGATGAAGCGGCGAGAGATGGGCAAGATCAAGCGAGCAGAGGCCGTGAACAATGCAAGACGTATCGGGCGGAGTGACGCGATCAAAAAACGGTCAGTCAATAGGAGGCTTCGGGCGAGGGCCATCTTCTGCGCTGGATGTATGAACTCACACCATTGTCCAGGGAAATGATTGCTGGATCGAAGCGGCGAAAGGAGAAGGAGCAACAGAGAAAGGAGAAGCTAGCCGCAGCTCCACTGAGCGCAGATGGAACGGACGGGGAGTCGTGAATGAAATTCTGTTGGTTTACTCTGATCTAGTGGATGCCCCGCCGTACGTTTTGCTTGCTGGGCACTTTTCATGCTCGCCCATCGATGCATTGGACAGGCATTCCGCAACGCGCGTACGTCCCCGGAATGAAGGCCCTGGGAACGCAAATTAGCCGAGTGGCACAGTCAGGTCAGTATGCGAAGGATTCGCGCGTCCACCGGACACGGTGCGGTCATTCCAGGGAATCAATTTCCTTGATAGGCACCCAATGTTCAGCATTGAAGCTGCTTCTAGACTGGCGGTCTTCTCTGACGAGTGGCACAGTTGTCGAGGAACTGGGTTCGAGACGCCTGGTCCCCAGGCGCTCGGGTGACAAACGGGACAACAGAACCAAATTCAGAGACGTTCTCCCCGGCCGTTCACGGTCTAAGGCCGAGGGGCATGTTTTGTTTTGTTCAATTCAGTGTTGAGTTGTGTCCTCGTGGCAAAATAAGACAAAGCTGCACTGACTCCGGGATTTATCGAGTCGTTTCAGGGCGACATAAGCCAAAGTTTCCACTTCCGACCAGTCCCGCTTCGGTGCGGCCGCTCCGATATACTGGGATGGGATTTCTAGCTGCCGCCGACGTTGTTGTTTAGATGCACAACGTAGGTCGGTAACCGGATTTGGTGATTCTCCGCATAACGGTGGCCAGCCATAGCTGACATTCGTTGGATGAAGACAGTTTCAGCTACGTCTCCACAGCAGACGCGTGGCATGAGCGGTTGTACGTATTTGGTTCCGCGACGCACTGCAAGCGTCCCAACAGGGAAAGAGGCCACGCGTGTGGGGCAACCTTAAACCATGGTTGACGATCTGGAGACGAAATATGCGGTCCCGCCGCGAGGCAAACATGAGGCGGTATCCTTACAGCAGCGGAGCCTTCTTTTCAATCGCGTTTACATCCTCTATCGAGTGGCACACTGTTCTAAAAGGCTTCCTTGCAAAGCGACCGATGCATTTCGTGCGACAGCTGAACCCGACTTTCGAGCGACCTCTTCTCGCGTCGCGCAACGTCTCCCGACGCCACCTCGCTTTCTTCCTTTACCATGCCGGCCTTTCGTAACATCAGGCGGTCTCGTCGCATCTCGAAGCAGCCCCCCCGCGATCCTAGTAAGTCACCGTGCCTGATCCTCAAGCCCCGCTTCGCACCTTCCCATCTTCAGCATGGGTCATCCGGAGTTTGAGCCGCGTACTAACCCGTACTGAACCGGTTTAGACCTCGATGAATACGACGCCTACGATTTGCAACTCATGTATCCGGACACAGACGCCGCCTCTTCGTCGCCCCCGACGCTTGACGCGCCTCTGCCGCTCCAAGATGAGTCAGGCGAACCAGAGATCGACCCGCGATCTCCCCCTTCCTCGTCGTCCGTCCACTCTGTCCCCCACCTTCCGCGCTCTTCCCACTCCCGTAAGAAGAAGCCTGGACACATCCCGCGCCCTCCAAACGCGTTTCTCATCTTCCGTTCCGAGCTCTGGAACAAGGAGAAGATCAAGAGCTCCGTCGAGCGGGACCACCGGCAGATCAGTCGCATTGCTGGCAAGTACTGGCAGGAGCTCAGTGATGCGGAGCGTGCTCCGTATCACGTCAAGGCCGAAGAGGCGAAGCGTCTACACGCGCTCACGTATCCCGATTACAAGTACTCCCCCGTCTACCGCAAAGACAGGGCCACCAAGCGCAAGACCAAGTCCGAGGACTTCGAGAAGGTTCTCCGTTGCGAGCGCGTCGCACTCCTCATGCGCCGCGGTTTCGAAGGCGATGATCTCGTGAGGGAATTACAGAGAGATTCAACGGAGGACGGCTACACGTCCGACGCTGCCTCGGAGTATGCCGAGACCCGTCGTCCCCGTAAGGCCCGTAAGTCTGCTACGAAGAGGCTCTCCTCTGCCCAACGTCCACGCCACCCCCGCACCATCCATGCAGTGGTCAAGGAGGAGCTCATGCAGGATGAGGGCTCCTCCGAGGCATCTGTCGAACCTACGGGGTCACTCGTAGACGATGTCCCCATCCACGACCGCTCGCATTCAGCTACTCCTGTCGGCGAAATTTCTCCGGCTTTCGCCCCCCTTAGCAGCAGCTACGATGTCGTCCCGAAGGAGGAACCGTCCACGCCGAACATCTACAAATGCTCGCTATCTCCTCCCTGCACTCACGACAATGGCGAACAAGCCTTCGTACTTCAGGACGAGATCCCGGAGATTCGTCTCGGTTCCCCTGCTTTCAGCCCGAAGGTACGCCTATCAATCGCCACAGACAATGCGTCCACTGACCTATTACTCCCAGGTCGAGTTCACCGATCCCTTCGCTAAAGTATCGTGCTCGCCGCACAGCGAGGACGTCGCGCTCTTCAGCTGTGATCCCTTCACCCCGCTTTTGGCTCCCTCCTCTCCTTCCTCCGACTTCATGGGAGTCGCAGGCGATGATCCGCTGGACGGATCTGAGGTCTTCGCCAACGGCTTCGACTTCTCGCTCTTCGACGTCAAGGGCGATCTGTCGCATCCCGGGGTCGAGGGTCCTAAGCCAGCCTATAACGTAGTGCCCAGTCCCGCCGACCATCCCTACAGTCCTCTCTACTTTGAATATCTTGCCGACCAATCATCTGGTGAGGTCGACTACACAGAGTATTCTGCCTGGGTACACATCGAACCCTAGTCAAAAGTGCCCCTTGCCCACCTCCCGCTGTTCGCTCCGCTAGCGGGTTTGGTTCCCTTACTGGAAGCTCCCTCTGTCGTCCTACCGCATACTCATTCTCTAGACTCCTGTTCGTCGTCGTCATTCTGTTTTTGTATTTGCCTTCCCTCACTGCTCACCCTCACGATCACATACTCCAAATGCTCTCCCATCATGTACATAATACCCATGCTATCTCTCGCTGCCGCACATACCGCCCTCTCTGCACCATAACACATCCCGCACGCACTCGCATCTCATCTCGTATATTCTCGTCCGCTCGAAAGCGCAGGTTCTATACTGTGGTACTCTGATATCGCATAGACATAGCTAATGCATTGTGGCACCGTCGTACAAGACCACGAGTCGAAGAATTCACGACCGCAGACGAACATCGATTAGACGGATGTTCAGTTCGTCATTTGTATTCCCATGGCCGCTATGTTCTTGGTCGCTCTACGAAGCATCCACCGCCATCCTCCGCATTATGGTTCTTGGTCTAGGCCCACGTCCAAGTCGCGCAGGATCCCAATGTCCAAACGCTTCCGTGACACCACGGTCACCGTTTCGCCTTCTTGGCTTTCGCGTCCGAGCCCACGTCCTGGCCACGTTTTACCGTCGAGGACGCGGTGCTGATCCTGCCTGCTTCGTGCTCTGCCCGCAGCCACGCCTCGCACTCTTGCTTTGTCCCCTCCGGGTGCTCGAGCTGCCACTCGACCACGCGCGCAAGGACTTGCCCGGTCCACTGGCCCGGGGTTGCGCCTAGGAGCTTGACGACCTCCTTGCCCTATATCGGAATGACGCGGAAAGCAACGAAGTGGGACGGAGTCATCAGCACGGCATGTCGCTACCGAGGATAAAGCAACGCGGGACAGATCGTGATGAACGAGACGGAAATGAACTCACGTCGAGGATCGGCTTGGCGTCCACCGCTGCCTGAAGGCCGAGCTCCTCAACCCGAGCCGCCAGCTTGTTGTAAGCATGGACTCGGCTGGATGCGGTTGCCTCTGCGAAATATCACTTGAGCACATGTTCCCACATTCCAAAGGAGAGATGGAGCTACCATCGATAGAAGTGTTCTCCGGGTTCCACAACGCTGTGAGTTCTTGCACAAGAGAGAACAGGAGCGACGAGGCCCACATAGACCCAGTTACCACGCTGTGCACGTTCTTGTCTCGTAATAGCACTCCTAATTTGAACAGTCAGCCGATCGTCGCCAATTGTGCCATATGCGCGACGCGCCTATCCACGCTCTCTCCGGCCTATCCAGGCCACCGTTCTCCCAAGTGGCCACGCCCCGCTGTAGCGTATCGGCTGCCGAGAACAGCGCAGGAATACCATCTAGATAATGATACTGGGCTCCCAACTTCAGTCCTTCCCGTATGACTGCTTCCACCGCCGGTCGCTCCTTGCCCTTCTGCAAATACGTGAGCCCGCGGTATGGGGTCAGAGCGCTGGCAAGATATAGCCGTCGCAGTGGTTTTGCTGGGGTGGAAATCTCGGACAACAAGAGTGGACAGAGAGGAGGGAGCGAGGGGAAGGTGAAGCCAGAAAGGACCATAGAGGTAGCAACAGGGTTGGTTAGCACGTGGAGGATCATAGCTGCTTGGAGGGCAGATCGTGATGACGAAGGAGGGCCAGAGAGCTTGATGCCTGCATTTTCGGGTACATAGAACACGGAGGCATACAGCGATAGACCATCGATGAGGTCTATGGAGAGCAGGGGATTTCGACCTATAGATAGAGGCTTGATTGTCAGGGAGAGCAAGCATTTACCACATTGAATACTTTACCTCCCATCATTTTGTCGAGCTCTTCTCCTACACGCTCACGGCTGATCTTCACTCTGAGAGCTTCCTGTGCCCAATGTGTTTTAGCGATGTCTACAAGTATCTTTCTGCACCCGTAAGGACCTCACGTAGGAAGATAAGGACAGTACAAGGGGGCAGCAGCCAAGTGACATGAGGGACGCTTCAAGAGATCCCATGGCAGTCCATGAGCACGAAGAAAGGCTTCCTGCCCATGCTGCCCCGGGCTCCTATGATGCTTCACAACCATTTTCCTGTGATCCCGACGCTTACCTGTCCCGTCATATTCGCTGAACACTGCACGGCCCCCGACCATCATGGGCGAGCGCGAGCGAGCCCGACGAACAGATTATTCTTCTACTAACCTGGATGGTCAAATCCTTCGCTGCTTCCTGCAACTCCGGTACAATGGTGAAACCGAAACGACTCGCGAAACGTATACAGCGAAGCACGCGCAGGGGGTCATCGGTGAACGTCTCCTTTGGAGATAACGGCGTCCGTATCGTCCCACTTCTAAGATCGTCAAGACCCTACTTCGGCCTCGTTAGATCCTTATTATGAACACGAAAGGAGAGACTGCTCACTCTTCCAGTATGGTCTTCTACAAGTCTTGTGTGGACGTTATAGAATAGGGTGTTGATGGTGATGTCTCTCCTCAGGGCATCTTGCAGGGGCGTTCCAAATGTCTAGCAGCCAGTCTCGTCGACACAAATGCATACCTGGCACGCAATGAGGGGACTTACTACTTGCGTGGGGATACGACTGTTTTCCGCATACTCCTCACTCCGGAGGTTCACGAAGTCAAGCTCGATGCCGAGAATGGTAGTACGAGCGGTTTCAAGGTGTTTCGACTGGTCTGGGTTGCTCTCAATCTTCGCGATGTTCTTCACAGGGAGGTCCCTTGTGGTCCTGCAGAAGTCTACAAAACGTTCCGCGAAGGACACTCCCATCATGTTTTCCAGCGCGATATCAATGTCGTTGCATTCTGACCCTAGTAGCTAGGATGACGCAGAGAAAAGAGCAATTGTAGAGACGTCGGTGCAAGACTGATGGATGAGACATACCTTGTCCCGGACCCAACCTCCAGCAATCCTGCATGTCGTCTCTATGCCCTCCGCCTCTTTCATGTTGTGTGTGCATTGGTCAAGTAGGGTGCATAGCTCATCCTCTTCCGCTGTTAGTTGCACAGTCATCTTGCCTGGGATCGAGACACGGTCCCAATAGAAGGACCGTGAGCGCGGTACTTGTCTGAGAAATGGCAGAACGAGACGGCGTGTCACAGTGTGGCCAAAGCGCATCAAACGCGCAGAATATCCGAAGATCAAGAGAGGTCAATAGCAATGTCTGCTAGATGAGACGATGTATATGACTGAGTGCGCGCCTTGCACGCGGAGGCTGGAGACAAGCTGAGTCGAGGATAAGGTCCAGTGCTTGGCGCAGATCTCTTCCTACATCGTGGCAGTGCTGCCCATCAGCCGATCATGTTCAGCTTGTCGGCTAGGGCGTAAACCATAGATTTGGAAACACAGATGCATTGGGCCATACTCATTACAGCATTTCAAGAAATCCTATCGTTACTGCATACCATGGAAACCAGGGAAGTAAGCACATTCATCAGGACACAAAGCGGGTGTTACGTCCTATAAGAGAGTGCTCATGACGACAGTACAGTTGAAAGCCATGCAGCGAGGTCGTTTAATGCTGTCTCATTGACATCGTGCCCGAGTCCCTCGTATGTTTTGAAACTAATATTATCCGATGGCATGCGAAGAGTGTTGCGGAGGAAAGATACACATTCCTCGCCATATGATAACGGCACTTCGTCGTCCACAGTGCCGTGAGCCCAAAAGACGGGGAGACTGGGTTCGATCTGTTGCATAGCCTGCCTTCCTATCTTAGCCAACTTGGCTCGGAAAATGATCACAACCTTTTGACCAACTGCTTACCTGCCTGGACTGCTGGGGGATCCAACCCGACAAACTTGCGACGCCGCCTAGTTCGTGCAGCGTCGTCAACGCAGTCATGAGCGACAGCGAGGCTCCCTGACTGAAGCCGACTAGTACAATCTTAGTTGATGGGGTACCTTGACGGACTTCGGAGATAATCAAGTTCTCCAACCTGGCAACCGAAGCCGAAACGCCGGCTTCGTCGTAGCCATTACAGGGAGGAAGACTGACGATGTTGAACCAGCTGGGGCTGCGCCGTTCCTGACTGAACGTTACAGGTGCGTCCGGACTTTATGCAGTTTTGTGAGTGCCGTAGCCACAGGTCGGAGAAACGTACTGGACCTACGCCTGAGGTAGGACCCATTTCACGCCGGACAATCGCTCAGCGACCCGGCGAAGGGTTGGAACCCAACTACTGTTGAGCTGTCCTAGACCCTACGAGACTGTCAGCGATTCAAGAGGGGATTATACAACGATTGCTCCTCACATGTACGAAAATTACGGTGGCTGTATGCTCTGCAGTCGGAGCAATGACGACAGGTTCGGGACTAGAGGGTCGTTCCTGAGTAGCCATTCCGTTGACAAGGGCCGTCTTGCTGTTCTACCTTCGACACTGTGCACGTTATATCCATCTCTGTATGGTCAAAGAGGTGACTGAATATGGTGCGCAGCACGCATCGCTATGCACTTTGCATCGCCCATGGATGCCGCAGTCAAGCGCGACCGCCTAGCGAAGCCAGCTTGCGCTCTCCGGACTGTCACCACTGTCTTCGTGGGCGCACAATGCGGTGCACTCTCGTCGTAAGAACGACGTCGTCATCTTGATGACAGCTCGGTGCTAAAGTACGAGGTCGCCGTCGGGGACGACGAGCGCGAGAGGAGGGCGCGTGGCCGAATATGGCGTGGACACAACATGGCCAAACACATTGCCGGCGTTGCCCAGTTCACCTTCGCATTCGAAGCCTCGCCCTTCATTCTGTACAACTCCCCTCGTCCTTCATCCGGCCGTCCTTCTTCCCCGCTCGTCCTCACAATCACGGGTCTTTGACATGGGTGTCGTCTCCAGTTGCTGCGAGTCTTGCTGTGAGTGGCAGCCTTTCCTATACTTTGACAATTTCCCCGCTTCGCGCCTATTCTGACAACTCTGTTCAGTCCACTCCCGGAGGTCAACATACGAACCGTTGTTGTTGGAGAACGAGCGGGAGGCTGTGGCAGACCTCCTCCAGTACTTGGAGAGTACGTAAATTATGCTCGACGGCGGCACCCCCGCCGTCCGTGGACACCATCTCATCCTGCCCTGCCTTGTGCTGTAGACCGCACAACAACCGACTTCTTCCGGGATTCGCCTCTTGCAGCGTTGACCACACTCTCATTCTCCGACAATGTCGATCTTCAACGAAGTGCTGCGCTCGCATTTGCCGAAATCACCGAGAAGGAGGTTCGCCCAGTCGGCCGGGACACGCTCGACCCTATCCTCTTCCTCCTCAGCAGCCATGACACCGAAGTGCAGCGGGCTGCAAGTGCGGCTCTTGGAAACCTTGCTGTAAATAGTGCGTACACTTTGGGCTTATCTGGACACCGAGGTTGACATCGTGCGACAGCCGACAACAAGCTTCTCATCGTGAAACTCGGTGGTCTCGAGCCCCTCATTAGGCAGATGCTTAGCCCCAATGTGGAGGTGCAATGCAACGCCGTCGGTTGTGTCACCAATCTTGCCACGCATGGTACGTCGAGTGCCCCTACTCTCCCGGCAGCGTGCTCTTCTGAGCCGCTTCTCCCTCCGCTAGATGACAACAAGACCAAAATCGCGAAGTCCGGTGCTCTCGTTCCCCTCACCAGGTTGGCACGTTCCAAGGACATGCGCGTACAACGCAACGCGACTGGCGCACTTCTCAACATGACCCATTCCGGTGCGCGTGCCATGACTTCGGCTGGTCGGCTAGGCTCCTAACTCCACGTCCTAGATGAGAACCGGCAACAGCTCGTCAATGCGGGTGCTATTCCTGTCCTTGTCAGCTTGCTCAACTCCCCTGACACGGACGTGCAATATTATTGCACTACTGCGCTCAGCAATATTGCCGTAGATGGTAATGTACACGTCAATCTAGATACGCCCGGTGAACTCATTCATCTTGCATATAGCTCACAACCGGAAGAAGCTCGCACAGACCGAGCCGAAGCTGGTCTCGAGCCTCGTGCAGCTCATGGACAGTCCTAGCTTGAAGGTGCAGTGTCAGGCTGCCCTTGCCTTGCGCAACCTCGCCAGCGACGGTAAGTTATTGCCTTAATCACCTCTGGATGCCAAAGGCTGAACGCTTCGCTGCATTTAACTAGAGAAGTACCAGCTTGAGATCGTCAAAGCTGATGGTCTCACTTCTCTGCTTCGCCTGCTTCAGTCTACGTATCTGCCACTCATCCTCTCTGCTGCTGCCTGTGTCCGGAACGTGTCGATTCACCCGCAGAACGAATCGCCGATCATCGAATCGGGCTTCTTGCAGCCGCTCATTAACCTCCTCTCGTTCAAAGACAACGAGGAGGTGCAGTGCCATGCCATTTCGACGCTGCGGAACCTCGCTGCGAGCTCAGAGAAGAACAAACAGGCCATCGTCAAGGCGGGTGCTGTCCAGAGTATCAAGGAGCTCGTGCTGGAGGTTCCGATGAACGTACAGAGCGAGATGACGGCATGCATCGCGGTTTTGGCTTTGAGCGGTATGTGTGGCGCAGTGATTTTGACGAGTGAAAACTCAAAATTTGATGTCCAGATGAGCTGAAGGGGCAGTTGCTTGAGATGGGCATCTGCGAGGTCTTGATTCCTCTCACGAACTCCGCTAGCTCCGAAGTCCAGGGTAACAGTGCCGCGGCTCTCGGTAACCTGTCTTCGAAGGGTATGTTGATTGACTCTATCCTGCTGTCGCGATGCGCTGACCGTATATCTAGACGGACGTACGACCTCAGATGATTACTCCGCCTTCAACGATGTCTGGGACAAACCCGACGGCGGCATGCATAGATACCTGTACCGTTTCCTTACTAGCGCCGATGCCACCTTCCAGCATATCGCTGTGTGGACAATTGTACAGCTTCTTGAATCCGGAGGTAAGCCCGCTCCCTACTCAGACCGATGTTTCACGCTCACCGTTTGGCCTGCGCACAGACCCGCAACTCATCAGTAACATCCGCAGTTCTTCCTTGCTCATCCCTAACATCCGTTCCCTCGCTGAGACCCGCACCTCAACCCCGACATCATCGATTGGCGGCACCCCTCACTCCCATCACTCACAGGCCCATTCATATCAGGATACCGAGACAGGTAACGGCCATGGCGAGATCCAGATGCTTGCCCGTCGGATCCTCGACTTCACCGACAGCGAGGGCGTCATAACACCGAGCGCGCTCGCGTCGCAGATCCAGGCGGGCTCGTTCTCGCAGCGAGACGAGAGCGTCAGCGGGCGTGATCACGAGGAGCTTCGCAAGAGCGTACGGGACGCGTTTGCAAGCGGTTCGTCCGGCCACTGATAGAGACGAGTCTGTGGGCGACTTGAGATAGCGCCCGCCTGGCTGCACTGGGGCTACGACTGTAGGGTCTAGAGCGCACCTGGTAGCGGGCCACGGACGGTCTAGGACTTTCGACAATCTTCTCCGCCGTGCTTGGGACTGTGGTAGGCCAAGCGCACGGGGTGCTACCCTTGTTTTATCGTGTGGTTTCTCGGTGTACATGTTTTGCCAGGCTTCGCTCTCGTCTGTACCGCATTTTTATTACCTCTGGTTCCTCACCTCTCTTGCCCGACCGCAACGCCCCGCTTCTTGCTTTGCCTGTCTACTTCGTGTTGTGTTCACACTCGCCGCGTTCGCGCCTTCCCCTCCGCTCTTCTCTTCGTGCATATTTGTAGGACGAGGTATAATCGACGCGATGTACATATATATGCCGCCCTCCATCCGCTGCTTGTCGCCATTCTCCCACATATGTCGAGTAGTAGTAGTAACGTCTATGGCTAGTAGATGTCCCTGCAATGCAATCCGCATCACCCCATCAAAGCCAAAGCAACTTCGATGGAGAGACACCGCCAACGCGAGATTACAGTAGTATGTAATGCTTGGGAGATGAGCCGGCCGCGGGCGTACCGAGGATACACGCGTCGCGGCGCGTAGCAGCTGCGGCATGCACGATCAGGCGTGGAACGAGAAAAGAGGGGACGGAGGCCGCGCAAATCAGCAGTGCTCGCGTCAAGTCCCCATCTCGAGCTTGCCGGCAGTGTGAACGATGCGATGCGAGGAGGAGCGTGCACGACCGCGCGACGAGCGGAGACATCTACTTCCGAGCCCTGTACTTATCTCAACGACTGGGCTGCGGGTGTGCTGCGGGCTGCGAGTCCTGCTGCGGCGCACACTGCGCGCTCCGCTGGCTATTTCCGACGCCGAGGTGGGCGACGCCACCACGGTCATCGAGTCGCTAGACGCGTAGGGTCGACTGTCGCCACAGCATTAATTGGCATATCCTCGTTCCCAGGATTCGCTGTCACCAGCTGCAGACGTACAGTAAGCAGCGCCTTGCGCGTGGGGCATCGACACGCGTTGACGGAGGACTGCTCCATCGAGTATGATCGGGCCACCGGCGACTTCAGCACTGGACTCTCATATACCTTCGGTGAGAGGCTCGCAATGACGACGCTGCCTTCCATGATCCGTGCCTTGCTTCCGTGTGCTGAAGGAGGACTCGTTCGGTGGTCGGCCGTCCCATCCGTTCATAGACGGTTCATAGATGCGTTCATTTGGTCGGCGGCCTGGCCAGAAGGTGGGCGTGCTATTGTTGGACGGCGGGCATTGGGTGGAGATCGCCCAGGGGGAAACAGGGTGGGGTTCTTGGAACCGAGAGCAGCGTGCTTGGGCACGCTAAGATGCCGCCCCGACAAATCGAAGCATCCGGATGTGCGTCTGCAGAAAGGGCTATCCAGCTATCTAGCAACGCCTGAGACAGGCCGAGGACACGTTTGGCGGCGATGCGAGCAGAGACGGGTGTGCGGATGCGTCGGAGACGGGTGCAGGCAAGCAGGAACGCGGGCGGAGGGCTGTCGTAGGCGGTATTCGAGGTGCGGACCGGAGCGCTGCAGGCATCCCTGGATAGAGCGTGTATTATCGGCGCGCAGCTATGTCTTCTCCACCGACGCAAAGGTTCTCCATCGCTCCCCCGCCCACTACTACTCCTCTGTACATATACCCCCTTCATCGGTCTCTTCCCCTTTTCCAGCTCCTTCACGAATTTTCTCTATCACGACCACGACCCCATCGGCCCACGCGACCCCGGCTGCGCCTCGGTTGAATAAGACTCCTGCAGGCTGCAGACCCTAGACTCTTCTCTTCCTCCCCCCTCCACCACCCATCTTCTCTACCTCCGGATACGCCTGCGATGATTGTGCACGTCCCCCTCCTCGTCTTCCTGCTCGCCAACGTCGCCCCCACCGACGCCGGGCTCTTCTCGCGCAGCTCCGACTCCTCGCTCTCCCGCGCCGCCCGACACGCGCGCCGTAACGCAATCAAGCAGAGCAGCGGCCTCTGGGACGACATCCGCCTCGCGTACACGGGCATGTTCCAGCAGAAGCCCCAAGTCCTGCAATCGAAGCTGTACTGCACGAACAATGCGGGCACGGGGCTCTCCGGACTCGGGCTGAACAACACGAGCGGGGCGGATGGAAACGATGGGGACGGGGACGGGTCTCATACGACCAGTGGGTCATCGCATACGACCGAGGCTCCGAGTGCGTCCTCACCGGCTTCGGTTTCCGTTACAGAGACTGGGACGGCGCCGTCGTCCACAACGACGTCATCTGGCGCGCCGTCTGGTTCGGGAAGTTCTTCTTCTCCGTGGAAAGTGGCCCAAAGCTACGTGAGTACATGTGCGCGAGTATTCTATGACGAACCATGCGACTGATTCGTTTTGCAGGAGGGGAGCTCTTTCTTTGACGGATGGGTCTTCACCAATGCGCCTGACGACACGACCCATGGAATCGCGCAGTACGTGGACCAAGGGACAGCGGTAAGTACATCCTCGTATAAATTCTTCGTTCAACTCTCATTCCCTTCTCAAGCAATCGGCCGGCTTGATCGAGGTCAATGGCGCCGGAAACGCCGTCATGCGGGTCGAGACGACACCCACCGTCTCGGGCAACCGCATGAGCATCCGCATCACCACGGAGTACACCTACACCGGCGGCCTCATCATCATGGACGCCGTGCACATGCCTACCGGGTGCGGAACGTGGCCGGCGTTCTGGAGCAACGGCCCCAACTGGCCCGCCGGCGGAGAGATCGACATGGTCGAAGGCGTCAACGACTACACGAACGTCCAGGTCACGCTCCACGCCGAGCCGGGCTGCACGATGTCCTCCGCGGACCCCAACGTGCTCGGCATGACCGGGTCCGTCATCACGTCCACCGACTGCGGGGTCAGCGGTACGTCGAACAGCGGCTGCGGTGTGCGCGCGAGCCAGACGAACTCGTACGGCGCGGCGTTCAATGACATCGGTGGCGGCGTCTATGCCAGTGAGCACCTTCTTCCCTCCCATCCTGTGTCTGCGTCTGTGGTCTGTGCTGACGGTGAGATGACAGCGTTGTGGGACGACGACGGCGTCAAGACGTGGTTCTTCCCTCGCAGCGCCATCCCGAGCGACATCGCCAACGGCGCGCCGCAGCCCACGGGCTGGGGCAGCCCTGTCGCCTCGTTCCCCTCCAGCTCGTGCGCCCCGTTCAGCAAGTACTTCTACCAGCACACTGCGATCTTCGACACGACCCTGTGGTACGTCCGTCCGTTCAGCACGATCGTCATCCCCTACTAACCCCCCTCGCAGCGGCGACTGGGCCGGCAACGTATGGTCAGCCGACAGCTCCCCAGGGCAGAGCCAGACCTGCGCCCAGAGCACCGGCGTGGCGGCCTGTGTGGACTTTGTCCGCGGGAACGGCTCGGCTTTCGACCAAGCCTGTAAGTATCTCGGTTCCAGTTCAGGTCTTCGATCCTATATGCACCGGTCTCTGATCTGATTCCTCCTGCTCCGTAGACTGGGAAGTGAAGAGCGTCAAGATCTACCAGAGCTCATGACGCGCGGCGCCCCGCCACACACCATGCACCCCCCCTCTCTCGCTCGTTCTTGGACACACACGGGTGACAAGGGTCACCGGCACTGCAGCGCGCCACCCTGGACGATCGGACGCTCCTACGCCCCTATTAGGCCCAGCGTGCCCGATCTCCGATCGTCCACATCCTCCAGGCTCGTGGCTCGCTTGGAGGGCGGCGCACGCGACCGCACTACGTGTCGCATTGCTCTCCGTGTGGAACGGCTCCGCGCGCACAACATAGAGGTTGCCTGCCGACGACTCAAGATGGCATGGCATGAGGCAGGGCCCGGACCTGTCTCCTGCTACCGACACTGTGCACTGACAAACGACATCACGACGCTCACGCTCACGAATCACATACACAACGCACTATCCCGCACACTGCTTATGGACGCTGTTGGGCTTCTCTGTTGTATCGTCGCGGGTCGGAGCATACTTCATATAGACTGCAGGTGTTGTCCGTGTTGTACTATCTGCTTATTGTATTATAACTGTCGCTGCCATTATGCTGTCCCTCGAGACGCACATTGCATTGTCCAGGACTTGAGTCCTGCAGGTCGCCTGGGGGGCTCGGGCGATTAAGGATATGAGTGTTACCAGGGCCTTGAGGTGGTAAGGTTGGAATCTCCTTCTGTTCTGCTCGTGGTCTTCAGTCCAGCCGCTGCGAGCTCTGCCCGAGAGACCTGTGCCGTGTGCGGTCGGGGGTCTTTTCTGCCGTTCCCTCGCGGTCGAAACGAACCCGTTGCCCTCCCCAGCTCCTCCTTGTGTGGTCATCGAAGCGTTGGGGCGGATTTGATCAGGCATGGAGGTGTATTGTGGTAAGTTCGGTGGTGAGAGCAGTTGAGTTCAAGCAGATGAGCTCCTAAGCAGATGAGCTCCTTCGCGGCCACGGACACGTCGGAGCTGTCGTGCCGGATATTCGATGAGCGCTAGTAACTTGGGCTGCGCTCTTGATCTTACTTCTCTCGCACCGCGAGTCGTCTGGTCTTGCAATCAACCGTTCTTCTCTGTCGCTCCAATTTCTGCTACCCTGGTTCAACCGAGTGCAGCTGTTTCTTTCTCTCGGGCCTCGGAAGCGACAATTCAACATGAAGGAAGGAAGGAAATTACCCGCCCAGCGTCGAAGCTGGATGCCAGCCGCAGGACAACTGGTCAGCTCGCTCTTCTAGCAGTATATAGGCCTGCATCACACGACGATGCCTCCTCATCCCTGTCGCCACATTCTCTGTATCTCATGCTGCCCGTTGGTCAAACCTCTTCGGCGCATACACCGAGTAGACGCAGCATCATATGCGCACATCTTCCTCCGGCTTGTCCTCACGGCCCTAGATGCTAGTCAGGTATGTCTCGTCTTCATGTGTGCTCGGTCTCGTGGCCCTGATCCTCGTCTTTGCTCATTCCGTAGCGTCATTCGGCGGACATGGACCAGCTGAACCAACCAAGCACGTCACCACCTTCCCTGTCACTACGCGTTCAGCGACGCAGAGCGTAGAGCACAGCGGTGATCAATGAGTTCAGCTCGGTAAGTACCTTTTGCACGCTGACTGGAGGTGGCATATCTGACGGTCGTCTGCAGGATGTAAAGTTATAGCAATGTAACTCAGCACGCGTTATACGCGGGACTAGTATATTGTAATACCTATAGCAATGTAACTACAGCGTATTAATCAGTATGAGTACGTAGAATAAGTAACAAGCATATGCTCACCTCAGCACGCGTTATACGCGGGACTGAGGTGA